CGCACTTTTTCGACAAAATCGCGCATCTCGCTTCGAAGAAACCAACAAGCCGTAGGTTTGATGCAAACAATTACTTACCCTATGGACCCGAGAAAAGGAGGAAGAATCGAGGCGCGTGCGAAAACATCGTTAAGAGAGAGCCCGCAGAATACACGTGCGCCGCTCCGAAGGTCGAAGGCCTGTCAACGTCAATGGGACTCCTTTCATGGGAACCAAATTGGGCCGCCATCACTACACGGATCGGCAAAAGAGGGGCGAGGGGTCGAAATTTCGTCAAAATCACGTGTTGTACATATTTATGGACCCCTTATGCATTATGTTGTGTTCCACAATGATACAGCGGTTTGTAGCTTGACGTTTCGTTTCCTTCCAGATATTCTGTTGAAAATCATGACTCACTCATTTTATTGCTACAAGTAAAAAAAAAAGCATCGAAAATTGTTATTTTTAACAGTTAAAATTATGGTTTGAGTAGTAAACATTGGGGTAAGAACAGTAAGAATCACTATGCTGGAACACTGAATCTCAAAAAGATCGGTTGATAAATTTTACTATATCAACATGGTCATTTTTACTGTTCTTATCATAAAATTTTTACTACTCAAACCGTAACTTTTACTGTTAAAAATAATAATTTTTGATGCTTTTTTGCCATGCCAATTTGAATCCGATTTTTTTTCTGAGTATGGTTAAACACGTAAGTTAAGAGTTTCAGCGAGCAATATTATTCGTACATAGTGGAACAGGTCGATGCAAAAATCGATGTTGATGAGTAATCATTTCGTTTACAAATTTTTTTTTTCCCCTTAGTTTTCACGTGTTTAAACGAGACTGTTGACACCTTGTCAAGTTTTAAATACGCGTGTTAAAAGCATTTAAACTTGAAATTCATTTTTGAGGTTTACTGTACCACGATAACCCCTTATTTTATAAACATGTATATATTTGTAAATGGAAGCCGTCGACGAACTCCGCGCTTATCTGCGGTACATTTAAATGCCTCTCTATATACGCTCAAATGGGCGTCGGGCTTTAGATTCGTCTGTTTTTTTTTTTCCTCCTCTCAGGGGACCAATAGTCTCTCTCACGTGACTCGCGTCAACATTGACTTTTTTTTTCTTCTTCTTCTTCCGTTGCGCAACAGATTATGGGTTTTCGTGTGTGCACGAGGTATCGTGATGTACACAATGTACACTGTTTTTAAAATCCCTCCATCAAGTTGGACAAAGGAGAAATGGAGAAGGAAAAAAACAAAATAAAAGCCGAAAGAGGGACGACGACGCCTCTTCGCGCAAATTAGTACACACCGCGGATTTTCCATCGAATGTTAACACACTATGGTCATCATCAAAACGGAGCAAGATCATTCGGTGCAAGCACGCGTCAAAGTTGTACTGTATTTCATCATCATAGGTTATACCTATAGGTGGTGATAATACGTAATTAAAGCTTCGTCCCTATCGTTTTACGAGTTGCGCAATAAAAGCCCATTCGCTCCTGTTGGCAATGTGCGACTGACGCATGTATATTTTCATACACACGAATCTTGTAAATAATAACGATACCTTACTCGTAACAACCACGCCTTTGCATCCGATGAGTTTCCTCATGAAAAACAACAATTTACTGGCTAATTTTACATCGTTTCGGAGCAACGCTCGCATCCTTGGTCATGACTCCGACGACCTTTGTCACGCATTATTATAACGCTCCTCTCTTGCCCTGATACGTAAGGTATGTACGAGTACCCGCGATGCCACGAAACGGATTGTACGCGCTTGTAGGACCGTGTGATTGGTTGGTCCCTGCACCGAAATTTCGTTATGATACATATTACAATATTCCCATGGCACGAGAGTGCGACGAAGCCGGCGCGATTACATATACACCGTATAGCTATTTTGTGATGGAGTTTTGCCTTCCGAGCAAGATGATGCAATAGATGTGTACAATTAAAAGGCATTTGCTCAATAGATCATCGACGCGCGATACGAATCAACAGCCGTTGTGTAACTGAAATTGTTTTTCTACTCCATGCAACCCTGTAATGGTGTAGGTATACGGTTATTGGGAGCTATTGTAGGCAAACACCATTTACGAGGGAGAGAGCTCGTGTGTACACGAAAAACGTACTTATTCCGATAGGTTTTGCCCCAGAAAATGTAATGAGATTCTTTTTTAAACGCGCCCTTGGGACGCGTCCTACTGTAATTCGAGGTGCTGTAAAAGACTAACACAAAAAGAGCTCCGTTTTAAATACAACAGCGTTGGATGACCTTAAATTTCATCCAACGTCGTGTTTCTGTTTGTACTGTTGAACCGTATAGGTGATTAGTGCGCGTGTAAACAGTAGTTCTCCAAACTTGTAAGTATATATGTACGCAATTTTCTTGGCGAATCAAATGTGGGTGTATCGAATCCCATTCGCGTCTGCGTGCGTATACCAACGAAATTCGTGATCACGCGCTGATGGAATATTTTTTTGCCGAATGATGAGCGAGAGTCACGCGTCGGAGTCGATTAACATTAATTTCTTCGACCAAGTATGGGACGCGTACACGCGGCTCTTTTGTTCATAACGATCTCGATCCGATGTTTGCTTTTTCGATTCGCACGATCGCTCGCGCGCGTCTATAATGTATACACGCGTATACGTACGTACTCGTTTGTTTTTGTTTTATATTACATTAAGTATCGGCGCTCGTGTAACCATATCTTCATCACAGAGTGACGGCAAAAATTATTTTAATTTTTGTCACTTTAAGCGGTGATATGACAAAATGACGGGGCAACGACTCTTGCGATAACCACACCGTATATTTTCACACCGGAGAAACAATAAAAGATCTGGCTTTTAACGGGTGGGTGCGCCTATCGAGTCATTTGCGTTAATGAGTATATTCAAGGAAATCGAGAGATGAGCGGTAAAAAACGCGCGCGACCCCAACTGTCGGAAAAGTCTTACCGATTAAACTTGTCGCGTCAAATTCTCTACTCGCAAATCGGTTCACCTTCGCGAAAGCAGTGCATTCGTTCGCGCGAATAATCCACGTTAGCAACAAAAAAAAAACTAAAAAAAAGGTCTAATGATGAACACAATTGTGGGGAATAAATAAATAAATGAACACGTGATTAGTGCTCAAGTCGGGTATGAAAAACCAGAGCCAGGAAAACCTCGATTAATTTATGCGGCGAGCAAAAAGTGGGCAATATACTTACATATATTATTATGGCGTAAGCAGGCGATGATCGGGGAGTTATAAAAAAAAATCACCACGGAGGTCTCGCTTGGCTAGACACACGCGCGAGCGCATTTTACATTCTCTTGTGGCGTGTTTCCTTCTCCTCCCCGCCCCACCCCTTTTTTTTTTTTTTTTTCATCTGATATACTTATCGCGCCAGGATTGAGTTTTTTTGACGGCACAGGTATTGTGAATACGTGCGGTCTATCACGTGCGTGTTCTCGGAGGAATAAATCAAAAGTAATTTATCATGCGAAGATGCACATGTATTTGCTCGCTCGTTAAAGTAAAAAAAAATTGATTTTTTTTTTTTCAAAGTTTTTATTTTATCATCGGTAGTGTTGCCGACGAGATCGATTTTTTTTTTTTTTTTTTTCAGTTACCATGACCCTGATTACATAACTAACGCCCTGTTTTGAACAGAATTTTAATAACCACCCAAAAATTGTTCTCGTGAATCTCATAGTTATTCGGATTTTCTGTCGTTAGGGCAAAAATCAGTGTAATATTTCATTTGTGATTCCCGAAAAATACATTCAAACATTGATTTGTCACTTTCAACTCGAAAAATATCTTGAAAAATTAGTCATTTTTTTTTCATGACCACAATATTAGACCTTGGTGATCCTAAATAGTTTTGGATCTTATACACTTGAAAACAAAACTTTTGGATAAACACGTTGGCACATGTAATGTAGTTATCGTTAAAACGGAAAAATATTACAAAACACTCCGTTAATTTGTTTTTTGTCGCTTACAGTACAATATTGACATTCTACGACGAGTTGGAGATCTCAAAAAAATTAAATCTTTTTACGATTTTGTGTTAGCGAAAAGTGATAATTTTTTTACGCCTTAAAACGCGAAAAAAAAACATCAGTAATGGATTCTCCCACAGTATTATATTAAAATTAGATAACGTAAATGTTCAGGAACAGTCGAGATGAATTTTTGTACTCTTATGCACTGTAAGAAAACTAGTTTGCAAGCCCTGCAAGCAAATGCTAAGCTCGCGTTTTTTTTTTTTTTTTTTTCTAATGAAAATCAAAAGTACTCGTATATTTAAAAATTGTTGTTTTTTTCGAAAGTTTTGAACTTAATAACACATCAGCTGAAAAAAGAACCTCAGCATCATAAGCGGCACGAAAGATGGGCTTATTAAAATTAAAAAAAAAAATGTATTACGCAGTTCGAGAGTACACGAAAAAGTCCATAAAAGAACCTGAAACGTGTACCCTCGTAATTGAGTGCCTTATCTATGCCAACATATGTAATATTATCATAAAGCCATTGCGACGAAAACACGTATAATTGACGTACATTATAATTGAAAACGAGAGAATGAAAAAAAAAAAAAAAAAAAAAAAGAAAAAAGAATTCAATTCTTTGCACAGGTGTCTCATGTATTATATGTGTATCGCCATATCTCCCTGAGCTTCCCTTTGGAGAAAAGAAAAATGATCGGCAAATAGTCGAAATTGCGCGTCACGAAATTCCAGACTCGACATTATTATACCATACCACACAGCTTTACATAACCATATTAAATGGACGTGTATAACATATATATGTATGTATCGATACGCCGTGGCGTTATTTCGCTCCTCTGCATTTCTATGTATACACATACACACACATATACACATATAAATATATATACAATATATTCTATGTATGTAAGTCGTAGTACTTGTACATATATATACGCACATACACGTGGTGACCGGCTGACTATGAGGGACACACGGCCGTCGTAGGCTGCGTCGCCATTAGTGGGGAAGTAAATTGAAGCGGTGGCAGGTGGCTCTTGGCCGGCTCGTCGAACCGATTCGCTCACACTTCATCTCCGAGCGCCGGCTCCCGCGGTCGCACTGCTCCTAAGCCCACAATTACCCGCGTCTTGTTCACCGATATTTGCCGATTTTTCGGATTCGTTTAGCGGGCAAGCATATCACATATAGCCGCATAGCACTCGATGTGTAAGGCAGGAGCTCGCCAAGTGCAGTACAGCGTGCGAGGGAAAAGCGAATGAAAAAAACTGTTCGGAAAAGCGAGCCCCGAGTCTTGGAGGGTCGAACTGCGGTCGGACGCCAAAGTGCCGGGACGCGTGAATCGGAAAATTCGCCGATTGATCGGCAACGCGAGCGGTCGTAGCGGGAGAATCGTCGTGCGCGGGGCAAAAGTGGACCTGCATGCGTTCAAAACTACCCCTACGATTACGGACTACCTCGTCGTACGGCCGCATCGGCAACGAGCACGCAACGCGAAAATCGAAGGGCAAAGGGCACCTTTTGTTCCTGCAGTGCTCCTACTCGAGTGTCCGCCGGTCCAGCGACGCGAGAACGCCGCGAGCTCTTGTCTGACCTCCGATCACGCTTCGGCTTTCATTTGGATTTGACGTTTCTCCTCCTCTGACGTGAGTAAACTTCAAAGTTTCTAAACAAGTGCTTTCCCAACCGTGTGATAACGATACGAGCAAACCTACGTAGGCTTCTTGTTTTTGTCCTTTTTTTTTTTTTTTTTTTTTTCGTTTTGTCTCGCACATCGTATACGGCAACAGGTATATTAATAATAGTTGTACGACGGCGTTCGGGCGAACACGAGAAATCGGCTAAAAATAAAAACTCTCGGACGCTTTTTTTTCCTCGTACCGAAATAGATCGACTTTGCCTTGCGATCGAACTGAACGAACAAAAAACAAACAAAAAAAAAAACAACAACAAAAAAAAGTAAAAGCTCGCGTTAACGCGAATGACGAAATTTCGCTCGTACAGAGACAAGGAGGCTCGTGTAAATTCTTTTCTCGGACTCGTTTCCGCTATCTCGGTTTGTCAGCAGCATCGCGTCTAATGATTTCGGCCTTGAAAAATTCACCGCGACTAGAACGCACGCGCGCACCGTACACACACACACACACACACACACACACACACGCGCGCCCTACCCTATATACATACACTCCTCGCTCGAGGGTCGGCCATCATATTTCATGTTTCATTTGCGTCGTATCTGCAAACACGGGCCAAGTTAGGCCTACCGCCGAAATTCAAGGGCAAGAGGTTAAAAATACTTTTGTGAATTTTCTTTTCCCCGACCGAAGGGAAAATTTTTCCGTCGTTCGAGGCGAGGCGTTTCACTCTCGGGGATACATTGTATGGTGTATACCGTTTGTTTGTGCGCAGTTGCGACGATGATCGCCGATGACTATGTGTACAGGCCTGGACGTCATTGATTCGGCCGAATCGGCGCGACGATGTCCGTGCGTTTTTTTTTTTTTTTTTTGCACGCTATTAATTTCATTAATTCCTTGCGATGATGAAAAATTACATCGAACAACCCCCGTACGGTAAACACCTGTTGACTTGAGTGGAGATTTCTTTCTTTTTAATTTTAATTTTTAAATCTTACACATTTTTTATCTTTTCACTGCGTGTTTGTAAACAAAAGCTTACAAGCAAATTATCCAATCATGCAGTATATTGTGTACAGTGATTATTTAAACAAAAGAAAATTCATGACGTTATGTTATTTTCTTCTTCGATACGACGTACATATTTATTAACATTGTGACATGTCAATATTTGCTAGTCAAAGTTTTTTTCGTTGTTTTTAATGTACTATTATACATATAAATATTAACGCGGTTGCTATAGTAAGAAAGTAAATTATTTAAAAAAACGTTTGCGTATGTATACGATTGTTAAAAATGTTAATCACTGGTCGCGAAATATTTATTTGAAAACTATATACGATTCCAGTAATCTGCGCCACAAACTCACTTGAATGGACACCGAACAAGTGAATCGATACTATATCAGATCTGGCTTATCCATGTAATCGTTGAATTAAAAATAAAAACTGTCAAAAAACCCATTTTTTTTATGAAATCCAATTCGTAAAACATAAATTTTATATCCATAGAAATTACAGGGGAAAAAAAAAAGATCACAATCTGACATTCGAGTACTTGCTCATGCGTAAGTATATAACATATATAGAGTACACATAGGCACTCTGCAGCTTCTCTTATGCGCGTCCACTTCAATTTCTCTTTATCTCTCCCTCTCCCCTGCTACTTATCTCGCCCGTATAAGTATACAAACGGCGGATCGAGCAACGGAGCCAAGGATACGCGCGGAGGTGTGTTTACCCACACGTGTGTACTTCTAACTTCCGGCACTAAACTGTACACACGACCTCCCCGTATCCGTTCTCTCATTTCTCTATCTCTCGATTCACATCGTAAATATGTAACACACGTGAGCAAAACGCAAAACGCACTTTGTTTTTGTTTTAATTGTATATTTTTTTTTTTCACAATAGAATGAAATATCTGTCGCATATTTGATTAAACCAGGGGGGGAATAAGTGAAACCACCCGAAAAGGGAATGTCCCTTTCAATTTGTTTCGAATGAATTACAAAACCATATCGAGCCACCAATAAATTTGCCATGCGTCCTATATACGGGCGCAAGTGTATCATCTCGCTTAATGCACGCACTTGATGAATTGACGGTGATTTCGATGCCTTCGCGCATACATATATATATACATACACGTACAGCCGGTGAGGGCGCAGAGATCTTAATGATGATCGTTGCTGCAGTGTAATCCTAAAATTACAAATGATACCTGTGTTGTTACACCTTGGTCGTTGATGTTCCCTGTATGAAAGGAAAAAAAAAGAAACGGTTTTTTTTTTTTTTTTTTTACTGGTATCGACAAATCTTATTGAACTAACGTACGATGCTTTGAGCACTGTATATGCGTATACCTTTATTAGCGCAATCGCGATTCGATATTTAATTTATCCCGATCGCGGAGGTAAAAAAAAAGCTCCTCTCGTAAGTATACCGCGGCTATTGTATAATGTATACACCAACTTGGTAATTTATGCGGAGCAATGTCGAAGTGTACGTATAATCATGAAAAAAAGAAACAAAAAAAAAACAACAGGTTTAAATTTCACGTGCGCATTGAGCATAATCTAAGTACGGTTGATGCAACACATCGCTCCGATGACACGATAATGCGTATTATACAAACACATTTTTTTTTAGATAAGCTGGATGGCTGGTGTGTGATTAGGTAAACGAAAAAAAAAAAAAAAAAAGGAGGAAAACAGATATTTTTGAGCACAGCGCATGCAGGGATATAAAATATATATACATCGCGATTCTGCACCGAGGTGTAACTGAGACGAGCTCTCTCGCGCGCGTGGTGTTCTGGTGACGCCCTATACTGTCCTCGTTGTTTTGGATACGTCCAGCCCGTGACTTACGGTGATTTCGTCGCCCTCGAGACTGGGATTATTGACCGTAGGCAAAAAAGGGAGGGGGTGGAGGAAAAATGGTGCTTTCATACAACGATAAGGACAACAACACTTCGTGATACCTCGCCAGAGTCGTTGCGTATCTGTTTGCCTTTTACATATACCTACAACTGATGTGTACACTTGAAAATATAATTTTAAGTTAAGCGGACCTTTGAACAAAAAAAACAATTACTCAATACAATAGTTTTTTTTTTTTTTTTTGTATCAGCTCGTGTCAGGTATACCTACTTAGTGAACAAGTATGAATGTGCTAACTTTATAAAGTCCAATGCGAGGAATGCGTGCATACTCATGTATGTACAATTTACGGGCTATACCTACAATACGTGTACATCTATACTGGCATGCACACATTTCATTGAAATGGCCTATAACAGCCGGGGTGTGTATATATATATATGCATATACACGTATCTATCTGTATGCAACGCGAACAGATCGTTGAACTCGATTCCAGCGCAATAGCCAATTGTCAGCGGAACTTTTAGACTTTAATTAACCGCGTGCCAACTCCTCGCAATGCGAGAATCTAAGTCACGGCATTTTGCCGATCTATCCGTTGGTATACGTTATATATAAACATGTGTGTGTATGTGTCGAGCTGCGGCTGTTGTTGCAATTATTTAACCGACGTTCTACCTACATCTGTTTTTTTCTTCTGGTTTTACAGTCGTACAGTCGTTCAACATTATCTCGAACCAGTCGTCGAAAACAATTTTTTTTCTTTGAGTTATTTTACTTATATTTTTTTCTTCTGGTTTTACAGTCGTACAGTCGTTCAACATTATCTCGAACCAGTCGTCCAAAACAATTTTTTTTCTTTGAGTTATTTTACTTATATTTTTTTCTTTTGTAAGAATTTAACAAGTTTTTTAAACTCTAGTAGGAAAAAGCTCTGAAAAAAAAACTTCCAATACCTGTACTGGTTTTTTTTTACGATTCTCCGTAATTTCTGCTCTTTTTGAGAGAATTAATACGACTTTAATTGCTCGCAATCTTGAAATTAATATTTCATAAACAGCGAGCTTGGGAACAAAAAAATGAAAATTAACGTTGACCTTGTTACAATTATTGCAACTCGGATGCTTACAATTTTTTTCTTCCCAGATGGACGTGTACCGATAAAAAAAAAAAAAATTATGAAAAACTGCAATTCCTCATCGTAACGCGTTACAAACGTCTTATTTGGAATTAATCTGTATCGAAAAGGTGCGGATTCAACGTTTCAAACGAAAAAGTTATTTGTTTACGTTAAAAGAGGCGAAGCTCCGTTATTTATAGCGCACTCATGTACAGGAGGCCCGTATGGCTTTTGCTTTGTTTTTTTTTTTTTTTTTCTTTTCCGAATAGAGACACATCGGAGGATGTGCCCAACTATATGACCCACACCCATAAATCATATCCCACAGAGCTATTGTGCCGTTTTTGGCCCAATAAACTTTATCTTGCAACTTTGTCGATTTTAAAGCGACTCTTCCGTTCGACGATTCATTTTAACAGTGCACCCGGACTTCAAGAGATTTTACGATAAATAAACACAACGGCAGCTGTTTCGAATACAATTGCTATGCAGGTTGAGGTAGACTTTTTTTTATGGCTGCAGTTGAGTTAAATCGGGAAGTTGAATTTTTGCAGGACGATAAAACGATCTTGTTTTTTTTCTCCCACGTGTTTCGCAAAATCATTAAATTTGACTCGTCGTATTCTCACTGTTTGTCGCGCAGAGATAAAATTTACGAATGTGACAGTAGTCAAATGATTGTAAATAAATGGTCACTGTTTCGATCGGTAAATATCGATTGAAAAATTACGGACTTTCCTCATTTACATCATTTTTGCAATAAAAATCTCGTTAACTAACAACATTTGTCACACGTTTCATTCATTAAGATATCAAGAGCGCAAAATTTTGCAAGTAAGTATAGACTTTTTGCTAAAGTACATCATTTGCACACCCATAATAACGACACATGTATTATATCGTTTGAACTTGCGTTACGTCATACGCGTCCACCTGATAAATGCATTTAAAAATAATCGTTCTCATTAAGTTCGATAATGAAATTGACAAAGCAAAACCACGAGCGTCGAATTGCAAGTGTTACTTGATCGTATGAAAAATTTCGTAAATATACACAACGCATGATATAACTTTGGAAAAAAAAAAAGGGGGATTATTTTAATGAACGCGAAGCAGAGCCGCGCAATTACGAGTTGGGAAAAAAAGTGAGAGAATCTCTGAAATTTTTTAAAGTCAATACATTCATTTGACGTTTTCTCGATGACGATCCGCAATACAACCTGAGTGTGTGATATGGTCAAGTAAAATTTTGGCAGTTTTACTCTACGACTCGTAATTTTTAAAAAAATCTGCAGAAAATTACATGTTCGGAAAATGATTCGCATACAGGTGTAAGATGTTGTTTTCACAAAATGAAGCGTTGAATCGAACCAAGTCACGCAATTTTCTTACCTCCTTTCCATCACCAAGGCATTGCCTGTCGCAAAATGAAGCTAAAGGTATAACAACAATTCGGACGCCTCGCTTGTAGCGTATACTTACATATAGGGTATAACGTATATTTGCGAACGCGTATAATATTACGTTATACGTATAGACAAGCGTGTGCATCACGCGTGTTGCCGGCGTGGCAAGTGTGAAAATTGCCGCGCAGTTGGATTATATTATATCGATCGCAATTATCGTGGTCATTCGATCGGACTTTATTTCTTACGCGTACTCCCTCCGAGTTGAGTTATTATTTTACTTGCCAATGCACAAAATGATGAAGCCTATTATTTTTGATTCGTCTCTTCCTCTCGTCACTTTTTCCCTCATACGCAACGTAAGGCAAAAAAAAAAAAAATGTACATGTACCCCATATAGCGTGGACGCGTTGCGAGCGCGGGTGTGACTGTGTACGAGGGTACTGCGTACGCATACGTGATGCGTACGGTGGTGGATCGATAAGGGGTTGCGCGGCTTTGGCCTCAACTGTCGCTGTGGGTGAAATACCCTCACGGCGACCGTGTGGCCTAATGGATAAGGCGTCGGACTTCGGATCCGAAGATTGCAGGTTCGAGTCCTGTCACGGTCGATACATAAATTTTTAATTTTTTTTTTTTTAGTTTTCTTCATTTGACAATATTGTCGTTCAACGGCATCGAGCTTGCGATTCGGAAGCTTTTGATTTTTGCGCGAAAAACGGGGAAACCCTTGGAGGAATCCATTAGTTTCGGCTCTTATCCATAGATCGGTATGTCTGTTTGCACCGATACTTGACTTACGCGTTCGACGTAAGCAACATCGAGTAAAATTAATAACCAACCGAAACAAATACAAAAAGTCTGTCTGACGTAACCATTATTACAAATAAAAAAAAAAAATTAAAGTCACAAATCTGGCAAAAAATGACGATTGAGACTTAAATACCGCAGTAAAGACCGATCGGATGATTTTCAAGTGGCTTCCAATCGATACGCAGGTATAGGTATACAGGAGTTGGTTTTCCGCTATTCGTTTCTTTCTTTCCCATTCTTTACGGGTCTATTGTTTCCTCCGTTGTTTATCATCTCGTGCAAGAGCACACTTGCCGCGCTATACGTACATATATATTTACATATGCACAACGCATAACGTGCACACACGAGTAAGGCGCGTATGAGCTCCTGCTATTGTGAGAAACCCAAACAATCAGGTGGAGAACATCTGAAGTATCCATCGCTAAGGTGTACATACATGGTGGTTACAATCGGAGCTTTGGGTTTTTTTGCTCCTCCTCATACCTATATATGTACATACACATTATATAGGCACCTGTGCCAATTAACTTTTGTTTATAAATCCTTGGGAAACAGAAAATCCGAGCCGCGCTTTATTACGACGGTGATTGTGCAACGCGTCGAGCTCTCGATGTACTTTTGACGATGCGCCCGCGGATTTATTGATCTTTGCCCGATAATCTTGGATGATTTTTCGCGCCTCGATTGCTAGTGCACCACCATTACAACGGTATACACATACACCTGTACTTATACATTCGTTGTTGCGTCAAGTTCGAGAAGCGCAATTGATCGTCCCCCTCCTCCGACTAACCGATTCTTTACGTGCAGTAAAATAAAAACAAATTACTACATGATTTATTGCACACGATTTATTGTACGAATCACGAGCGTGAGATAATAGAATTTTAATACACGGATCGTTATAATAAAATAATTTTGCGCAATCGTACCTCCAAAGTATGTATAAGGAAGTTAAAGCTACACAATACATATAATATATAGACTCGCTGTTACCGATCGTAGTTTTAACTATGGATATTAGTTTATCCGCAGTATTATAGTTATGCAGTGATTTATAGGTATATACGTATATAATGGAAAATAGTATTTGCAAAGTGCATCGGTCGAGAGTGCAGCAGACGTGTTTTTGCCTAAATCCTTAGTATAGAGGCTACGACGACGTTACGTCAATTAAAACGGGAATGAAAAAAACAGGGAGCCTTGAGGCTTTTGTTATCCGGTAACGATCTCATTGTCGGGAAAACAGAAGCCAAGTGCTTGCGTGAGCTCGCGTACGATATATATTTTTGCGCAAAATTAAACACAAGGTAGAGGGACCTTTGATCGGTTTTTAAAGAAAATCGGTTGAATTGTGCAATGGTGATGATTAAAAGAAAAGGTGCACGTGTTGCAAGTAATCACAATTTGACAATGATTGCAGCCTTCGAGCGAGCGCAAAACCTAGCCCCGCCGTCGAGCAGCCGAAGGAGGAGAGCAGCGCAGAATCAGCAGGAAGCCCAGTCGAGATCGCGAAGAAACAGCCCGCCTGCCATCCCCAGGACAACAACCGTCACTCCGTGCGAGTCCACGTTTAGAGCCTGTCCAGCGGTCGAGCTTTTTTTGCCCACACAGGTCCAACCAACCGCGCCGACATCGTAGGATGGTAGAAGGTGAACCCGATTCAAAGCACAATCATAGTGAGTATACCATGTTCTCGCTTCATGATTACTCATATGCGTATATTGCAACGAGAATGCGGGGGATTTTTATTTGTACATAATATAGGGTACAAGCTTATCGGGGGGGATTTTTTCGACGGAATTTCCGCAACCGAACCAAAGGCAAATTCGTTCTTTGAAGTTTCGGATAAATACAAGGGTATTTTTTTTTTCTTTTTCATTCTTTCAAAGAGCCATCACGCAATATGTATATAATATGCAAGTGACGTCTATCAAAAATTGATTGCCGCTACGGTATGGACGTATGGGTATTACGTGTGATTAAGATGAATGGCTTTCCTTGGAAACGGCAATAATTCAATCACATGAGTGCTCTCGTGATGAAACGATTGTTACTCGCGTCTCCTAAATAACTGGTGGTGAATGTTTTTTTTTTTTTTTTTTTTTTTTATCACTTCATAGAATATTCGGCTGTTCGGTGGAAATGGGGAATCGATGGATTTTAAAGCTTTTCGAAACGTACCTCTGCAGCAGGTTTACGGTGAAAATAAATACGTCATCTTCGAGTATTTTTCTTACGGTCTTCGATGGGCCGAATTTTCGGAACCAAACGGTAGCGAGACAGACCTTGAGACGTTCAATCCGAACAGTCACAGTTTTTATTTCGGGAGTTTAGGGGATTTTTTTTCTTCTCATTTTTAAACAAGCTTTTTCGCACATCGTTTCTTGGCATCAGTTATACCGTTGATTCTCTTATCGCGCGATAATAAAAAAAAAAAAAAAAAGGAAAAAAGTTGCGCGCGCACGGCTGCCTCGTTTAACTCGACAATGATTCTATTTTCGTCGAGTAAGTACACATATGCATTTATCAACTCGTAAAAGGGTATGCGATGCGTACGTCTTTATGCTGAAATTAAACTCGGAATAATGATCCAAAGTGACCTTTTTTTTTTCGCGGAAATCCATGACGCTTTTTTTTCAATCGAACACTTCTTTGACATATTTTATACTTTTTACGCAAACTCCGTCAAATTTTTTCAAGTTCAGAATAATCGATTTTCGCTGCTTACGACACACATGGTGATTCACCGACGCTCGTCGATTTAACGACCTTAAAATACAGAAAAGAGCAATGTTTTTTTGCTTTGTTTCGACAGCACGTCAATGACGAATATTACAACTTTTCGAAAAGTTAAGAAAAAAAAAAAAAAAAAAAATCTTGGGTATACAGGACGTAAATATATACGTTTGCCTCGAGAAAAACCGTCGCGAAGCTACCGCATTTTTAAAAAAAGTCAAAGATCGAGTTTAATAATCGCTCGCTCGGGCTGTGACAACTGGGTCGCGAGGTAATTATATAAAAGACTCGAGAACCTATGCGTATACGTACTGTACGTCGAATAACAAGTGCTCGCAATTTCTTTTAGTTATTTTCTCTAAGTTTATCGTTGATCGAGAGATTTTAGTCAAAAACATGTACTTGGATAGAAAAGGTCTTTGCACAGATAGGCATATATGCACCCATGACGTTTAACCACCGTTGCGTTTGTGTTTTCAGAGGGTGATGTAAAAGACGATCGCCTGAACGGCTGCGGTTCAAAGGACCTAGAGCTCGCGCGTAAGTTTTCTCATTTTTTCTACCACAGTCCGATTAGATATAAAAAATTCGGCTCTGTTTTGGTCCCCGCAGGCATCGGGTCAAAGGCCAAAACCTTAGATCCGGAGAAAGCGCCAGATACCAAGACTATCAAAGCTGACTTTGAGCAGGCGATCGAACTAACCGGTGAGTCAATATTTTCATCGTAACAAAGTCCACCAAATCATCGAAATCTCTAAAAAATAAATAAGAGGTGTCCCTTCCATCCAAACACTGTCTATCACCTCATATCGGACAAACAGAGCGATGTCATGTAGGTATGCTACAGAGACAGCGTCAGCCAAGCTTATGCGATCATCAGTAAGGTAAAAAAACCGATGATATAGGTATATAAAACGAGCTATCGCGGGCTCATTGAGCTTTCGTCTAATCAGATTTGAATTTTAGGGCGGGACATTTTTAAATATTCGAACGGCACGTGTTTTTCTCGCGTAAAGTGTTTTTTTTTTTTTTTTTTTTATTGCTCTTCCACTTTTTCGTCACAAAGTTTTCAGTGCATCGAAGAAGCACTAAAAGGTACCTTTATCGCGCCAAAGATTTACGATATGTACATAGCGTTCGAGAACGTTTTCGTAAAACAATTGATCGTGACGTTTTGCGTATACGTCTTTCCAACAATATAATTACACTTGGACTCTTCAATCGAACGCAGAAAGTTATTGTTTTATAAAAAATAAAAAAAAAAAAATGTTTTTAAGAATTAGAATACCTACTTGATCCGCGTAACTCGAACATTTTATAAGCCGATGATCGTCGATAGTGAAGTCGTTTCGAATCCGAATAATATAATGACATAATTTTCTTTCACTCGAAGCATAAAAAACGCTCTCATACCGTAAGGTACAAAAATGTATAAGATCTGCTTGAAATTGCAGAATATGGCAAGTTTCACTACTTCCTGCTGGCGGTGTGCGGCTTCGTCAGCACGAGCGAGGAGATGGACGTGATTTCCATGTCATTTATCCTGCCGAGTGCACAATGTGACCTGAAACTCGACACCCAGGCAAAGGGCTGGCTCAACTCGATAATATTCATCGGGATGATGGCCGGGGCCTACGCCTGGGGCTCGGTGGCCGACGCCCTCGGGCGCCGCAAGGTCCTCATCGTCATCTCGTTCATGAACGCCCTCTGCATCGTCGCCTCCAGCTTCAGCCAGTCCTACGAGCTGTTCATGTTCTTCCGTTTCCTCAACGGTGCCGCGTAAGTATTCATTATTTACACGTCGCTGCACGCACAAAATAAATCATCATTGTCTGTCACATCAACGACACCAAATACGTTATTGTTGTTGTTTACTTGTTGTAGCCTTGGTGGTAGTGGACCGGTGATCTGGTCGTACTTTGCAGAGTTTCAGCCAAAGTCCAAACGAGGCTCGATGCTGTCGTTCATGGCCGCCTTCTGGACCTTGGGCAACTTGTTCGTGGCAGGTATGTACATTTACGGTTGGTAAGAGCTAGGATAATTTAAAAAAAAAAAAAAACATACGTGTGTCCATTAGGGCTCGCGTGGCTGATCATCCCAACGGACATCGGCTTCAAAAGCGCGTTCTTCACGTACAACTCCTGGCGAATCTTCCTGCTGATCTGCGCTGCTCCCTCCTTCGTCGTGGCGGGGCTGCTTTTGCTGCTCCCCGAATCCCCCAAGTACCTACTCTCGCGTGGAAGATATGACGAGGCCCTCGACATCTTCCGCAACATTTACGCCATCAACACTGGCAAACCTCGTGACACCTACATGGTCGGTCTACTTTCGCGTGTTGAAACATCCATGACGAAAAATACAATTTTTTTTTTTTTTTCACATTAATGAGTAACTGAAAAAGCTATAACAAGTTGTATTATCTCTTAAACTGCACGCGCGCATCAGGTGAAGGAATTGATCCTCGACGATCTGCAAGTCGAGAATAATTCGGTAAAGCCCGGCACGGACGCCGGCCCGGTCAAGAGCAAGTTCAAGGTGATGCTGAGCGACATTATGGACAACAGTCGTCAGCTGTTCGTCTCGCCGATCCTGCGTTTCACCCTCGTCTCGATCTTCATCAACTTTACCTTCCACATCGGCTACTACGGGCTGATGATGTGGTTCCCGGAGCTTTTCAATCGGTTCGATGAGTTTCACCGCGAGCATCCCAATCAGTCGGCCAGTGTGTGCGATGTCACGGATTACGTGGTCAACAAGGGCTCGCACAGCAGTGAAAACTTTTGCACCGATAAAATCGGCCAGTCCGTTTTCATGGAGTCCCTCATTACTGTCGCCTCGGCCATACCGGCCAACGTGCTGGCCGTGCTCTTCATGGACCGTCTAGGCCGCAAGTTCTTCTTAGGTCAGCCACTCTCTCTCTCTCTCTCTCTCTATCTCCGCCTTTCCTGCTTTTCTATTGTTACTGTATGTATAATATAAATATGTATTTATCTTCCTTCCCGTGCACCTACAGTTTTCAGTACATTGTCGTCGGGTGCGTGCTCGATCGGGCTGTACTTTGTTTACAACAAGTACCACAATCTGATAGTCTCGGCGGTGTTTAGCGGTGTCATTAGTTGCGGCAACGCGGCTCTCGACTGCCTCATCACCGAAGTCTTTCCCACGAATTTGCGCGCAACCGGTATCGCCATATCAATGGTGGCCGCACGTCTTGGCGGCATCATCGGCAACATCGTCATAGCCCAGTTGCTCGACCTCTACTGTCCGGCACCCACCTTCATCGTTGCCGTTCTTCTCATTGGTAAGCATATTTTTTTTTTTTTTTTACCCAAATTCCACTCAAGCATGATCATGTATACTCATACATCATTTTATTTGATCTTGTTTACAGGAGGTGGATTGCTCTGTTTATTCTTACCGAATACCACGCGCGAGCCACTCTCTTGACAGGACCAATGCCACCAGGATTGCACGGAGAAGAGAGAGAAGCAGCAACGTTCCGTCAAACAAACCAGTTGCATCACGCGTCGTCGTCGTCGTCGTCGAAATTCATTCGCGCCCCTTGGCAGTAGAACCCACGTACGGATTTTGTTTAGTTCATAGATTATAACAACAACCACGCCTACGCAGCGAATCAAAATCTTTTCCATTCTTTTTTGCTCTCGTACTTCGTTATCTGCGTTCATCCCTGTGTACAAGCTTTTATTATTCTCTGCCCTGGTTATTGAACCATCTTTTTTGTTTGTTTTATTATTACCAGCTTCTTTAATCTTAAGCCTCCGTAAACAGATTGTTGATTTTGTAATTTTTAATTTTAAGAAAGTACAAACCGTTTAAAAAGGATTTTTAATATCAGTTTTCCGTTGATTTGTGTTATTACCAAAAAGGTGCGCGCGAGTGAATGGAGCGCGTGATCATTTTTTAAGCCGTTTTGATTTTGTAAATTGCGAATTGAAATATTGATTACAAAAAGTATGTAGGTACGTGTTAACAATCAAAAATTTACGTATCCAAAAGTAAACAACTGTTGAATCGTATTATCCGAACGAATGTCTATCTATGGGCTGATAAACAGGACTTTATATATACGCGAAGATTTAGATTTTGTTTCTCAAGTATTATCACATTCAGTAACTTTATCATTTGTAGCAACATCACCTACAGACGTGTTATTTAATTTTTACATTTCATCAGTTTTTGTATTATTAATTCATTATCTAAATCATTTCCTATGGTTTTAAAAAGTAGCATAAGAAGTGTCTGAAATGTATTTTAACGAAAATTATTTTTGATACATGGAACTACAGCAGGTTGTCATAACTTTATAAATATTGTATTGTGTTTAAAGTCACAAGACATTTCCTATATCAGAGTTTGAAAATTAGTTGATAAATGCACTCGTCTACATGAGATCATTACTTTTAAATGCTGAAACAAAGTATTACACTGCATTCGAGTCTTGCATAGAGACTTCATTGTTTATTTACCGTGCAGGCTTATGAAAACAATTTTTGTAGTGTGTAAAATAATTGTTAATCGTTGAAAATTTGTAGTTACTTCTTAAGATGTTGTTATTGATTAAAAGAGACATGATGAAAGTACCATTATTAGGGCCCAGCTTGCCCATTTATATAGTAAGATATATAATTGCACTATTAATTTGTACTCATTATTAGAATACTCAAGTGAAAAATAAAAAAATGAAGACTTTAAAAGAAAAAAATACACAGTTTAACTGCCTTATTTTATCACACCAAAGAATGAAACTTGTTATAATTGCAAAGAAAACTTAGATAACTTGGTTTTGGTAAATCATGTGCATGCAAACAGTGCACAAAGAGAACATTTTTTATACAGTCCTATTTTCAATTAATGCTAATTGCAAACTTTTGAAAAATGTCAAATTTGTTATCAATAAATAATAAGACAGATTAAAAGAACAATGGATTTTTATTATTTCCAAGTAAAATGTACCTCTTAAATTTTAATCTTATGTTTGGAACAAACTGTTTATTCCATCATGAGCTTTTCCTTTTGTCTGGCCAACTTCTTTTTGCTAGGTTTCTTCTTGGCAGGTTCTTCTTCAGCAGCTTTAGCAACGACTTCTTCTTTCTCGGTCAGTATGACTTCTATGTGGCACGGAGAGCTCATGTAAGCTAAAAAAAAAAAATAAAAATCAATTTTGTAGAAAATAAACATTTCAAGTCAATAGCTACAAAGATTTGCAAAAAAGTAAGCACTTACGATTGATGCGACCGTGAGCTCTGTATGTCCTTCTTCGTAAGCAAGGAGCTTGGTTGACTTGTATGTGCTCTATAACGAGCCTATCAACTTCTAAACCTTTGTAATCGGCGTTACTCTCTGCATTCTTCAAGAAGTGCAGCAAAAATTCGGCAGATTTCTTGGGCCATCGACCTTGAGTAGTGCCAAATTGTTTGGCCTGTGCGCAACGTCCAACACCACCATTAAACCTCCTGAAGGGTACGCATTCTTTGAATTCAACAACGTTCTTCAAGTACCTTTGAGCTCTCCTCAGAGGCATGCCTTTGATGGCACGAGCCGTTTCATGGGTATTCTACAAAACATAACTGCATAGTTATCGTTTGTTTTGGTCTCAAAAACATAAATTTCTAAACTATCGCGTCGATATCACCTGAGGCATTGAACATTAAAGAAACCAAGCACCATTCTAGTCTAGTTGTCATACTAATGACAGGCAAAAAAAACCATAAATAACTTTTAACTCCTTCGCTCAAAAGGTTAGTGAGTCGCGTGTACTTTAGAGGCATGTATGGTGCAATTATGAAACGATTTCTTGGCAATTAACGAAATATGCACTTAATTTATAGAAAGAAAATACCGGTAAAGCTTTAATGTAAAGTTTGATACTCTATTGCTATCCATGGCAATAATTTCAATGTACGTGTGAGGAATTGTTTACAAAGTGTTGCGAGCAAAAGAGGTTAGAATACATTACATACCTTGAAGTGAACACGAAAGTTGGAGCCGCGCGCCTTGCAGGACTTGGGAGGGTTCGACGGTTGTTTCGAGTATCTACCCATTTTCGTCCTGTAACAACAATGCGAAAATACAACAACTTTAACAATTAATTATAAGCACTAATAATCACTGATTCACAATTAAACAAGTGAGAGAAAATATAGAATAGCGGACAGCTGCGAGAGATCCCCAAGAACGTCAGCCGCAGCGCCGTGCCGAGCTCGCGAGGTCGGCTCGTTCGGAACACTTTTGCGAGCTAGTGCGCGGTCGGAGTGTCAAAATCAGGTCGTGAAAAACCGGACGAGTCTCTCGAGTCATCGGCGCTGGGCTGATTTCCTGGACCAGGGCTTATTCGCGGCCTGATGCGACCGGATTCGCGGGCATGTCCGTAACCCTCACCTCTTGGGAGAAGCCGATTTCGAAAAAGAGATATTGTGCGGCTGGATGCCAAAGTGGCGGCGCTGTCTAAATCATGTTGATGTGACTTATCATTGTGCATGACTTTCTACTCTAACAGCAGTCGGTAAATAAAGAAAAATTTTTATCAAGTAGCGGGACTTTTCAAAATTGGAAAAAGTAAGTGAACGTTTCATTAACCTGATTGATCTTCGAGTAAAACGATGTGATCAATTGAAAATTAGTCAATTTTGTACCACTGTCCTTTTTATTATTAATGTGGTTTTCATATCGGCGTTTGGAAAGTACTTAAATGAAAAAAAAACTGTTAGCTAGAAAGAAAAATTAAAATGAAGGTTATGAGATTGCATTTAATAAATGACAATAAATAAAATCCTACTCATAGTTTTGATCAGCACATGACGAAAAGTTTTTGGCTGTAGGTAATGAATATTGACTTTTCATTTGTACATGCAACCATTGGAGTCCACCCTCTAGTAAGGATTTATACATGTATGCAATATAATTATTATTTAACAATATTCACTTATGAATATGTATATATACACGATGTATTTGTTATACTATACGGGTTTGCACTGTTTGGAAGAAAGAGGTGTCACAAATCTTTTTTTTTTTTTAATCAAAGTAATGGAAACGTACAATTACAAATATTAAGCTNCGAAAATGTGTACAATTGTGAAAGTGTACGTATACACGTGTATGTTCATGCACATCGGGAATAACGAAATAATTCAATGAAATATTCCATTATTCCTTTTTGCGTTGACCTGATTAATATATATATGTATATTAATTTACGAGGTACACGAAGTTTATACATCGAAGACATGAGCCCATCGGAGGTAAGAAACAAATAAACGATCATATTATATGAAAACTCACGTGGACATCGTTGGCAAGTATAGTTGACATTTATAAAATACACACGTGTGAAAATGCACTCGGACGATTGTGAGTTGGAGGCATTCGAAGATATTTTAGTATCCCATACGTATGAAAAAGCACATCCCATCGAGTATATATAAGTTATATGTACTAATGCTTACTTGTTCGATAACAAACTCTCGGTCGAAAAGTACAACACGAGATTGAAGTAAAAAAAAATTAATCCGATGTAAATATTAAGATTTTTTTTTTTTTTTTTATCGTTTATTAATCAAAGTAATGGAAACGTACAATTACAAATATTAAGCTAAGTTAATTATAGGGCAAAATGATATTAGTCCATACCAACAGTATTGAAAAGCGTCGGAAAATAATATTTCTATAATTATTTCTTCTGGTAGTTTATAAGTTGAGATCGTTAAAATGGTTTGAAAATCGTTTGACATGCGATAATTATAAAAGTAAATAATTCTTTGATTCATACAAAATAGTCGAGAATAAAGTAAAAAAAATGTACAAATTAAAATTCATATCAAAGTATAAACGTCATATCTTATATATATATATATTAATGAGTAATTAATATCAATTGATAAAATTCGAATTGCAAACTGAGTATGTATACATTACGTAATCATCCTAACAAGTAATTAGATGAATGTCAATGTATTTTGCAATGTAACTCATATTCGCTCTTTTCTAAATGACATTAAACGAAACAACACGAATATTATCAACATTGAATTCTTTGCTTAAAAAAAAAGGACATGACTATTCTAAGATTTAAAAATACTAGCATACGATTGTCATTTGTGCAATTTAATTATGCACATTTTAGTTTCATTAGTGTTTCTATGTACTGTTCAAGTAAACCAATCTAAGGAAAAAAAAAAATTCTACATGATCATGCAGATCCAGCATCAGCTTGTACATAAGATTGTACAACGTATTACGACGTACTCGCAAACGTAAAGCAGCTCGGTTAAAATTTAAGTAGCTGCCTGAAAACGGTCCTCCAAATTTCTCAAGATTGTCCCTTGCTGTACATTGGATTTTGAAAGGATGACGTTGCTTGTTGGAATATCGGATTGCCACCCTGTAAACACACGATAACACAACTGATTATTGCACCTTCGTGTGGAAAAGGGCCTTTTTGAAGTCCTCCGGAATCAACAAAAAAACCATTAAATGTGATTTTTATTGTAAAACCACGCGAAATTCTCTGGTTGGTCAATCTATATATTGATATGAAAACCGTGTAATTTAGCAATGATAAGTATAAACAAAGATCGAAACAACAGCTATTCGTCAAAGGAGTGAAATACACTTTGAATGAAAAGTTTTTCCCCCCACAAACTAAAATTAAAATTATCCACTTCTTGTATAAGCTTCGCATGGTAGAAAATGGTATGCACACAACGAACGAAAGTGGAGTGTGCTTATGCTCGTCGGATAAAACGTTTTCTTCAGACATGTTTTTAATAATGAAATATACTTGGTAAAAAAAAAAAAAAAAACTTACATTGTCCCACTTGGCGTTCGCACGTTCCTTTTCAAATCTAGCATATTCTCTCCTGTCGGCGATCGTTATCACCAACTTCCAGAGCAACAGCAACGCCAAACCGATGAACACAACGGCAGCTACCACTCCCAGCACAATGGCTAATACGTTAACTTCACGGGGACATTCGATCGGTGTTTTCTCGGCCAATATCACAATGTTGTTGTTGGTATCGTTGTAATAAATGTAACGATATTTACACTTGTTATCATCGTGTATGATGTCGCAGTCCACCCTTCCATCGCCTACGTCCATTTGGCCGAGTTTCTCCGTCACGTCGTGGATGACGTCTGATCGGCAGGTATCGTTGCAATCGGTGGTATTCTTCAATACGCACGACACGCACGGGTTCAACGACTCGCATATTTTCGGGCAATTGCGGCACTTTTCACAAAATTCACCGAAATAGTGTATACCATCGACGACCCGGCACACGCAATGATTCTCGTCCTTGTCCTTCTTAGTTTCACACGAACCCTGAAACGGAACATGATTAACCAATCTTTCGGTTGATCCAACGATTGTTGTTCATATTTTGATTCTCTCTCTCTCTCTCTGAACTTACGCGCTCGGAACACATTTTTCCATTGGACTCGCAAGCCTCGGTGTTTTTGTACTTCTCGCAAGCATCACCGTACCAGTCTGAATCGCACTCGCACCTCCCGTGGTGACGGCACTTGCCGTGTCCCGAGCACAGCTTCCCCTGCCGGCCCATGCCGCAAGAAAAATTGTCCTTCTCGCAGTAAGCGCCCTCCACCACCTGGAAAACCGTCAATTATATCATACGAACCGTTAAATCGGCACTCGGGCATTATCCAGCAAAAACAAAGTAGTAGGTATATGGATCATCGTGCACCTCGTCGCTGTCGTCGCGTTTCGCGCACTCGCACCGATTGCAAACGCATTCGCCCCGATTGCTGCACACCTCGGTGGTCTCGTTGTTCGGCCGGCAAGCGAACTCGTCGTTACGGGTGGCCTGGCTCGCGTCGCATTCGCAATTTTTCCCGAAAAAGTTGGGGTCGCAAGCGCATATGCCGCACTCCAATCGGCCGTGCCCGTTGCACAAGCTCGACCCTTCCATCGACGGCTCGTCCTTGCACTCGCATTCGCAGATCGTTTCGAGGTTCACGGCCACCGATTCGCTCATACCGATCTGCAATCGATTTATATTCAATCATACATATATTATGTATAAATAATGACGGTGCTTTTTTTGATGGGACGTCGCTTCGAGGCTTACCGGGTTTATGAGAAACGTCTTATTCCACTCCGATCGGCTCTCCGGGCACTTTGTCACCGTTATCTCCACCTCGAACTCGACCGCGTCCCCTGTCTTGAGGTTGCTGCACTTGTTGGTGTTGGCCTTCGCTCCGTCGCCGTTCAGGCACTTAGACAGGAAATTCACTGTAATGTGATCGCTCGTGCTGGGGAGGTTGTGCCTCATTTCCACCGAACTTCGTATTTTGTTGTACTGGTCGCGCACCAGATCGACGATGTTGCTCGAGTCGGCCTTGAGCACCGACGCGTGCGAGCTCTGGACGTTTTCCGCCAATTTCTCGTATATGGATATGTAGTCCGCAGTCACGGCCCAAATGATGTTTATGGCTTTTTCTTTGGCCTATAAATTTACACCGTCGAGTTACAACTGGGACAAGCTTTTAACGAAGGTATTCGCCAGTTTTAAATAATAACAAGTATTGGGAAAAAAAGCAAAAATTAATTTTGAAAAATAACAAACTCTCGGTCGAAAAGTACAACACGAGATTGAAGTAAAAAAAAATTAATCCGATGTAAATATTAAGATTCGGTAAGTGTAATTCGTAATGTACACCATACCTTGACATTTATATGTGAAATACTAGGATAATCTAGGATTGTCGAGTGAGTGTACATGTTGTTTTTCATGTGACATTTCCCGTCGTTGGGTTCAACGATGCCACCGAGCCTACCATCACCCGCGTAATGAAAGCTGGCGTCTGTCGAGAAAAGCAATAGCTTTCGAGCTTCTTTTCGCCAACCGATTTCGTCGCACACCATCGCCTGCATCAACCCATCAAAACCACCTTCCGGCGCATCTATGTTACCCGAAGTCGGGGCATTTTTTACTTCGTTCTGTAAATTTGGTAAAAAAAAAAAAAAAAAAAAAAAAAAAAAAAAATATAATTTCTTTGACATTGATCAAATATATACGAGTATCCAAGATTTTGTTCTTACCGCAAATTTGTTTGAATCATCAGATAAATTCATGTGGTTTTTAAATCCATAAGGGGGCGCACAGGACGTGCAACTGGATTCGAGTCTAAAAGTCATACATGTATCCCACGTTACTATTGAAATGAAGTTGAAAAAAATACTTCAAAGGGTTATTGATGTCATCAAATTTACTTACGCTTTCGGTGATGTATCGGTAAACGGTAAAACAACTTTGTCGACAAAACTACCAAATCCCAGGCGAAAGTTACTCGTTATATTTCTCATACTTTGAGCCAAAAGTTCACTCAAGCTTGATAATTTTTCTTTATCATCTTTCATCGAATTAGACAAATCCATGAGATAGTACAAGTCCACGGGATAATCTCCAGCTACAAACTTGATTTTTATCTTCTGAGCTTCATCTGCAATATATCGTGAAAAAATTATCAATTCATTCAAATCCATACATAAATAAAAATCATTGAAAATCATGGTCAAATTATTTGTAATTTTTATTTTTTTAGCAAGAATAAATCGTTGTACACGTACTTATCCTAACTTTCAAGTTAAATTCTTGGAGATGCAGGTCGTACTCTATTTTATCACTTTTATTATTTTTCATACTAAGTTCGGAAGACGGATTGAATATTGAATCGCTTGGACATGCTGTATCGGTGTTTTCGTTTACCTCCGACGAAAAGCATCTGTTGCCATTATAATCCTAAATCGCATATAATAAAATGTTACCATTGAAGTTCGATGAATCATTAATTTTTTACAACATGAAAAATAATTAGAATATTTTATCAAAATCTTACGGGCTTCGAACACCATGCACATTTGCTTGTTTGGATACAATCACTACATTTTTGCTTGGTATTACAAATACTTTTGTCACTTGTTAGGATACCATCCGTATTTTCGGTAGCTGAACTCACTGTGACCCATACTACGGTTATTAATAATAATAATAATAGTGGTAAACGCCAATTCAGGTTGACCGTCATTTCTGTTGGAAAAAAAAGAACAATTAGTTTTAAGTTAAATTTTAACTTAGATATATTCGTAAAATTTATTTTTATTTAACATTGCATTGTTGCACAAAGCAAACATTTTAAACATATATCTAATTGATGTATTTTTTAACAATGAAACATAATTCAAAGTTGCATATAAGTTATATATTATTAAGGGTACTTTTCCATGTACTTGTAATATGATGATTGTACAGCTGCCGCGATTTATCGTAGGTGTGCAATAATTAAAAATTGTAATAAATTGGTTATACTATTCCAATAAACGTAAATTTTAATATTTTTTTAATATTATTTGCACAAAGGTGTGCCAGGTTGTGTATCATTTCAAAGAAAAAAAAAGATTTGTTACGCAAAAATAGCTTGCATCAAGTGACTAAAAGGAATCCAGGTGTATGAACGAGCACACCCTTTATTCATCACAGTGCGACAACTCCATAATTTTTGGGAACTGTTACCTACACGTGGACGTTCACGTATTTTCAGGAAAGATAGCTGTTATGAACATTATATTATTTTCCATTTAAAATCATCCATTTCAAGGACTCGACGATATGTGTACAGGAAGACAACCATATAATAATGAGTCATCACGTACACTCAGGGAAATTCGATAAAATCCAAGTTGTCGCTTATCAAAGTGTGCACGCATACCGCGAGTGAAAAAGTCAAGTAAAACTGCACAATTATCACTGTTTCTGTACAATTTTTACTCGAAAAAGAAATTTACCCGTTTAAAATATTAATTTTGCATACGTAGAACTACAAGCAATTTTGGCTTGATCTATATAATTATGCAGTATTAAATGATAAAAACACCGTGCAAGAAATATGCACGAGCATATTTGACTTAAAACTGCCTTTTGGCTTGTTAACGGAGTATCAAGAATCCAACGAAACATTTGATTTCTGTAAAAATGCCATGCGCCAGTGTAACTGTTTATACAGTAAAAAATTGTTAAACTATCGAAACGCACGTGTAGCATGTAGAACGCCGATGGGTAACAGATTACTCACCGAGTGATAAGAGAAACGAAAATGTGTACAATTGTGAAAGTGTACGTATACACGTGTATGTTCATGCACATCGGGAATAACGAAATAATTCAATGAAATATTCCATTATTCCTTTTTGCGTTGACCTGATTAATATATATATGTATATTAATTTACGAGGTACACGAAGTTTATACATCGAAGACATGAGCCCATCGGAGGTAAGAAACAAATAAACGATCATATTATATGAAAACTCACGTGGACATCGTTGGCAAGTATAGTTGACATTTATAAAATACACACGTGTGAAAATGCACTCGGACGATTGTGAGTTGGAGGCATTCGAAGATATTTTAGTATCCCATACGTATGAAAAAGCACATCCCATCGAGTATATATAAGTTATATGTACTAATGCTTACTTGTTCGTTAATCAGCGTTGATCGGCGATGTTTCCTCTCGCTAGTCCTTCCCGCGATGTGCAATAAAAGTATATAATAATAAGCATCCACTACATTGGCGACATGTATCACAGCCAAAACTCTACTACTCACGAAACTACGTAGATGAACGTTATAATTATTATATTGAGCCTCAGTTTCGGAGCAACGCCAATAAGTACTCACTGATGCTTCGGACACGGCTGTTGAGGTACTTAATGGTTGTTTTTAACGGTTGCGCGGATCGAGGAACACTGCGATGATTATTCGGCTGCGGACAGGCTATATATGTATGTATATAATATACATACCAGATAATATAAACTGTTTTCAAGTCGTTAACTCAAAGAGAGCAGGGGGGGGGTTACAGTTACAATTGTGACTCGGTAAAGTTGTGCTTCATTTTTCGAAAAGTGCAACCATACACATATACCATTGCAATTCAAGTATTTCGCAATGAGTGTGCATCGTATTTTTTTTTTTTTTTTAATTTTTTTTTGTGAAATCAAACATTCGATATGGAATGTTAAATGGTAACAAGCCGGCATAGCTCGAATATTTTAATCAATATCGAAGAATAATCGGACATTGATGGTTTTTGAAAAAAAAAAAAAAAAAAAAAAAAAAAGTAGGATCAAAAGAACAAAACAAGGACTTATCCCCTCACCTTAATGAATCATCGCTTGTGCAAAATAAAACATACTTAAATTAGCCCTTTAGCTCTTGTTGTTTTTTACATTTGGATATTACGTTTGAAAAAGACTTTTTAACAAAATAAAAGCATCTATAGATAAATACAAATTTTTTAATCAGTAATCAGTGCGCCAATCGCAACGGATGTTCCGTACAGCGCTCTCGCGTGTACGTGCGATTGTTTCGTAAATCATGGGACAATTTTTATTTTTCTTTTCACGTTAAAATGTATTTCTCACCTTGATAATAGTTTGAAAATATTATGAAGTTATTGGTTATGCATAGAGTTGAAAAAAATTAGACATTTTTAAATTAAGGAAAATTGGGTGAAATCTATGTGCAACTCATCTACGATGATAAATTCAGTTGAAATAAACATAAGTACAGTATACTGATTGTACGGTTTGATTTTAGAATGACTAATTGTTATGAAGAACTACAGAAGAAATATTCCAAGAAAAAAAAGTTAGTTACATTACCCAAGAAAAGAAAGTAATTATGTGTCAACTTTGTTAGACAAACATATTTGTGAGTAAATACACCCACATGTGTCACAAGTATATGAGGCATTTCACGTCAAATCGCACAGGCTGCGCGCGAGACCACTTTTCATGCTTTGATTACAGTATCAAATTAATGAGGAAGATAAATCGGAGTAAGCATTTCTGACATATTTTAACCTCAGCTTTTCAATGAAATTATTAAAATTACAAAAAAAAAGTCAACATAACCTCAAAAAAATATAAAACATGTTATATCTTCAAAAGGATGTCTCGAATCTTTTTTTTTATTATCTAAAACGAAAGAGGAGGTTTTTTTACGTTGGTTTAGTGATTTTCAGAGTGTCCACTATTATATTATTCGAGAAATCTAACGTCAAAGTCTATGCTCTCGTGCCGCCGCGACGGACGGCCTGGCGGCAGACGTAGCGCCGCATTCGTACCATATCTTACGTTTGAAAACAACGCAATATTCCTAATAAATGTTTTATAATAAAATAAAGTATTGACATGTTTACATAATAATAAACAATTTGTATTTATTTAAACTTTAATTTAAACTTTAATACTGTACACTATGCAATATAGTTTAATAATTTTTATTTCCATTGTACAGAATATACATATTCTTTTTACAAATATTTGTCCCCTTGGCACGACAGTCCCGTGCATTCGCCATGTCTCTTATACTATACGCTTCGAGTTCTAGCCGCCGCCGTTTATCTGCTCGTTTACCTACTTTTCTATCTCTTCTATCCCGCAATCTCTCATACCCCTCTTTATTTACCTTTCTTTTCACCTGATCTTTACCCCGTGTCAGTCCCACACGTGTGCATTTAGCCGCTTCTACTTTCTTTCTCGATTCTTCCGTCAGGCTATATCTGTACCCCCTTCCTGCGTCTCTCCTTCTTCCCGGTACCTCGGTTCTTGATCTGTTCAGTCTTTCTTTTCTAATTCTCTACTAAATTTACAGAAACACCTAATCGGATCTCCTTTCAGTAAATTTAAAACCTTAGCTCTTACTTCATCTTTCGATCCAGTTAGATCCCACTTTTCCACTTCCGTCACCCAAATTTCGCTAATTATTTCCTTTATGCCCAAGCACGTGAAAATGTGTTCAAGTTTTTCCGGTTCTTTTTTGCAGCCCCTACACAATACCTCACTGAATCCTTTATTGCCCGCTCTTCCCACATTACCGCACCTTAGCCTTGTCCATTGTTCTTTTGTCCCTCCGTTTATCTCTCTATCCTCCCAGTAGTTTTCTACTCNAACACTATTATTGATATGTCTAAATAATTATTGTAAAAAATAATACTGTATTAACATCAACTAATAATTTAAGGCTAAAGAAGCAGGGTTCTCGGTTTGGTGGGTCACAAATTGGTATATATAGCACGCATGCAGCGCCGCACCGCTCCCCACCGGCCAGGCCGTCCGTCGCGGCGGCACGAGAGCATAGACTTTGACGTTAGATTTCTTGAATAATATAATAGTGGACACTCTGAAAATCACTATACCAACGTAAAAAAACCTCCTCTTTCGTTTTAGATAGTAAAAAAAAAGATTCGAGACACCCTTTTGAAGATATAACATGTTTTATATTTTTTTGAGGTTATGTTGACTTTTTTTTGTAATTTTAATAATTTCATTGAAAAGCTGAGGTTAAAATACGTTGGAAATCCTTACTCCGATTTATCTTCCTCATTAATTTGATACTGTAATCAAAGCATGAAAAGTGGTCTCGCGCGCAGCCTGTGCGATTTGACGTGAAATGCCTCATATATGTTTACATTGTAATAATACATGCCAACTCATTCGAACGTTTGTCAAGTACATGTGTACGTTTGTATACATAGATGGGATGATAGATACATAAGTTTTAACAATATCCAACAATATTACAAAAAATAAAAAATGTTTTCGCACATTTGATTGAGTTTTTTAAGACAGTTGATCTGAGTTATTTTTTAATTGAGAAAAACTTTTCACCGACAATGTTAATTATCACAAATCTCATAAAATATTTGCCCTCAGGACACATAGATTTTACGTTTATTAGCTCGTAACGGTGAAAAATAACAAAATGTATTTCACCATGAGTATAGTTAAAAAACTATCGTCAAGTTGTTGGCACACAATAAATCTTCATCTTTTCTATTTTGTTTTTTTTTACTCTTTTTTTTATTCCAAATGCCATTTTTATTTTGAACTTATTATTATTTCTACCTCGAACTAGAAATCTTCTTCTAAATTGTCGATGATGTAATTTAACATAATTTTTTTTCTTGTAGGTACACACACTAATGAAAAAAATCAGCTCATTTCTCATGCAAAATTTTCAGCTGATTTTCCAAATTTAGTTTTTTTGTTTATTCCAACTTTATAAAATAATCAATTTTATTGTTAACGCACGCTGTTTGGGTGCCTTAATCGTTTGACAATTTCCTGAAATGCATACAATTTATCAATTTGTGGTTTAAATTATTATTATTTTAGCGGTTAGTACTTTTATTTTTTCAAAATCGGTTGGTACTTGCATATTTTTTTCAAGCAAACTTAACGTCTGTTGTATGTAGTTTTTTTTCATCTTATTCATTTCACAAACGCCATAATCTCTTAAATAATGATGTATTTTTTATAATTCCTTAATTATACATGCTCCATTCCACTAATAAGGACATTAATTTACATTTTAATAACATTATTGCTTAGTACCGCTGCGAAAAAAAACTCAAAATAATTATGATTACAATCACCACAAAAATTCACAAATTCAATCAAGTTGCCGGAAGCATACTATAGATCACATATTGGAAAATGGCTGTATTAATTATGCGTGCAAATGATTTTTAACTTATTTTTTTTCGCTCTTTTACACATAAGTTCTAGCTGTTTTTATTTGACTAGTATACATGCAATGTACTTTTATTTTAGTTCTTTGTTTTATGAGCGCTTAAAATGTTTGCACGTCCTTTTTACGCATTAAAAGCTGCAAATTTTTAATTATTATTATCCCAATGATTAAATCCAATGGGACTTTTAAAAATATATTACCATATTTCTACGATACATAGGTATTGAAGTGACAATTTTGAAATAGATACCTGGAAGATGACTCTGACTCATATAACATATCAAGATGAGATATATGAGCTCATGATTAGTATCTATAGGTATACAGCTATGCAAGGTGTACTCACAGATCGAACCATAAGGCTAGTCCAGGAGAGAGTCGACACTCGGCTCAGCTGGTGCGGTCCGTGTTCGTGTCTTTTGCTTGCGCATATTTTTTCGGTAAATTATCGATCGTGTGGTGTGTCGTCTTTTGTAAAAACTTGGGAGTTGTGGACAGACGAGAGGAAGGTCCAAGAGAGTCACTGATTTCTGCTCTGACTCCACATAGTAGAAAGTGGTGAGCGCAGAGATCATCGATCATCGTCATCGTCAAAAACCAAAAGGACACTCTGCAATTGCATGCCGCGGTAGCAGCTCTCTCGGTTGAACCAGGAGACAGCAGGGTCGTGCAGTATTGCCGTGATTTTTTGTCCCCCAGTGTTGCTTTCACCCCCCGAGTCTGACTGCTCGTCCTGGTACTCGGATTTCATTGTTACCATGTCGAAGCTGAATAAGCTGAATCTGACCTTGCCACCAGGCTCCATAGAGCCCGCACCTCCAGTCTCGCCCTCGCCACCTGTACCGCCGTTGCCTACCTATTCGGAGCCACCGGTTATACCAGAGTTAGTAGCTTTTTTTTTTTTTTTTTTCACTACCCTGCCCGCTTATAATATTTAATATTTATTCTTTGTTGTGAAAATGCTGGGTTCTATTTAACCTTAAACAAAATATTTAAAATACCTTTTGCAGTTACAAGGTCTGCCTGAAGCTCCTTGTAATTGTTGTGTTGTTTGAGAGATTTCACGTAATATACAAATATTTGTCATTTTTTCATTCTATTTAAATATCAATGCCATGTTGAAATGCTTTAAAAAGACTTCAGAACTTAATCCATCAAATTCCTTTCAATTTGCTTATGCTAACTTTCTGATGGAGTTACTAGTTGTTCTCAAAACTGATCACTTTTAATTCATTGTGTGTAAATTATTTTTTTTTTTTTTCTTTATTTTTTTTTAAGTGGAGTCATGGGAAAAATTAGCATTGACGCTATTCAAGAGAGATTTGAAGAATTGGAAATGGATGAGGAACAAAGGAAAAGACTGGCAAGCTTTTTAGGAGAAAAGGAAAAAGTGGGCGAGTTGTGCGATGAAGATTTTGAAAAACTTGGTGAATTGGGTGCAGGAAATGGTGGTGTTGTCATGAAAGTGAGGCATAAAAAATATGGACTCATTATGGCAAGAAAGGTACATACTTATTTTTGCGCTTTGCCATCTGTAGCAGTTTCGTTTGAAAGAAATGCTTTTCATGATTAACGCTATGTATTTCGCATTCCAGTTAATTCACTTAGAAGTCAAACCTGCTATTAAGAAACAAATAATCAGAGAACTAAAAGTTCTTCACGAGTGTAACTTTGCCCACATTGTCGGTTTCTATGGTGCTTTTCATAGGTAACTTTTGGTTAATTGAATAATTAAATAATTACATACACCCTCAACGATATTTTTATGCACCAGATGGATTTTTATTTCAGTGATGGAGAAATCAGTATATGTATGGAATACATGGATGGTGGATCACTAGATCTTATACTAAAAAAAGCTGGAAAGATACCAGAGCCTATCTTAGGGACCATTACTTCTGCGGTAATTACATGTTATAATTAATATAATAAGATTCTAGCAAATTTCTTTGACAATCTTTAAGTACAACTATTTTCCTAGTAATAAGTTTCTCTTTCGAGGAAACAACCTGGGTTGGTTCTTATCCATAATCTTCTAAATTCGTCATAAACCCACAATAAAAGAGCCAGTGGTAGGCATGGCCAGTACCAAAATAAGTCCAAAGGCATGGTCTTGAACATTTTTTCTGTACCGGGAATGTAAAGTAAGGCACATGTTAAAGCCGCTTCGAAAACGAAAGCAAAATTCACGGACCAGTTGCTCATGCCCTGTTGAATGATGGAGTTTTTTCTTGTTTTGCACATTATTAAATCCACCATTTGCGTAATAACAATCGATAAAAAGTATCCAGTTCTCGCCTCATTCAGTAAATCCATTCGGCTTTGGTAGTCCCAAGTCTGGCCATAAGAATCTTTGAGATCATCAATCGCTCGATTTTCCCAAGCTGCCCGCAAGCCAAAAAGATCCTGCGGCAAGAAACCGTGAAACATGAGAATGCAGTAATACGTGTAAAAGCCAGCCATTGCCTGCGTCATGCCAATTTGCCCATAGGTCATCGAAATCAGTCTTTTATTCACTAATTTATCGTACTGGGGATTCCTGGGTGTTCTGTGCATTATATCAGACTCAGCTTTTTCATAAGCCAGTGCTATTGCGGGCAAAAGATCCGTGCCAATGTCGACACACATAACGAGCTCAAGAACAAAGGGCAAGGGAATGGAAAATATCACGCTCGCGAGCATCGGCAGCATTTCGGGCACACTCGAGGTCAACGTGTAGGCGATTGACTTTTTCAGATTGTCAAATATCAACCGGCCTTCCTCGATTCCGGTGACGATAGAGGCAAAATTGTCATCCATCAGTATCATGTCGGCCGCGTTTTTGGCCACGTCCGAGCCAGCTATGCCCATTGCTACGCCAATGTCCGCCTTCCGCAGAGCCGGAGAATCGTTCACCCCATCACCTGTTGCATTAAAAAAAAAACCATACAACCATTTGCTTTAATCATACGTCCTGTTAAAATTGAAAAACTATTTTTAAATTTATGAAACAAAAAAATCACCCGTTACTGCAACGATTTCCCCAAGTCTTTGCAAGCTTTCGACGATAAAGAGCTTTTGCTGGGGCGAAGTTCTGGCAAACACTATTTCCTCGTAATGCCTTATCGTGTAATCCAGCTCGAACTCGTTCATGTTTCGAAGCTCATTGCCGGTGATGACGACGGCTTCGTCCTCCAAGCCGGATTTAATCGAGTGAGCTCGGGCGTGCGGTAAGCTCTTTTCGTAGTGCGTCTCGTGACCCTCGCTTATGATACCCACCAGTTTGGCAATCGCTATCGCAGTCACTGGATGATCACCCGTCACCATGATCACTTTGATACCCGCGCTACGGCATTTGTGCACCGCCTCGTAGACGAAGGGCCTCGGCGGATCTACCAGGCTTACCAGGCCCACGAAGCGATAATCTTGCATTGGAAAGTTGTAATTTTCCGGGCTGCTCGTGTTGAACTCGTAGTCCGAGTTGTAAGGATCGACTGCATTGAAAATATTAAGAGTACTCGGTCATCACGTGAGATTTCTTAAATTCGTACCTTATTCCTTTTGTGAATTTTTTCGCCCAAAGCATAATTATTTCATCACAATAAACGCATTGTTCTCACCTGGGAGCACGTAGTCGCAGTAGGCGAGCACTCGTTCGCCGAGAAAGCCCATCTCCGTGCAAGCTTTCTTCACCTCCTCCGAATCCTCGGGTGTTATGTCGCGCGTCGAGCCGTCAGCAGCCATTATCGTGGTACAAAAATCAATCACCACCTCGGGTGCACCCTTGACTATCACGATAAAGCCATTGACGTCCTTGTGAATCGATAGTTGATACTTTGTCGCCGAGTTGAATGGAATTTCAGCGACTTTCGGATACGCCGCGCGAAAGGCCTTCGTCGGCCATATGTGTTCGCAAAATTTCAAAATACCTGAGAATAATCACGTTGTTCGCGTAATATATTTCATCAGCGATGCGCGTTATTATATGTATACCCGTACCAGTTTCCGAGGCGTCGCCGATAACTCGTCGCTCCTCGATGAGAACGAGCTGAGAAGGGTCGGGCTCATCCCTGAATTCGGCCCTCAAGCACAGGGTCGCGTCCTTGATGAAGATGTTGAAAGCCGGCTTCTCGAGCAATAGATCCCTCTCTACGCCCAGCAAGGTATTGGGCGGGAAATGATGGCGGGCGTTGCCGAACCAAAGATTCGACACCGTCATCTTGTTCTGGGTGAGAGTGCCCGTCTTGTCCGAGCATATGGTCGAGGTCGAGCCGAGGGTCTCGACAGCCTCGAGGTTCTTCACCAGGCAATTTTTGTCGGCCATTTTTTTTGCGGACAGGGTCAAACTCGTCGTAACGGTGATCAGCAGGACCTCGGGCACGTTGGATATCACGATGCCCAAGAGGTAACTGAACGCCAGTATGACGTTACCGTCCACCGATAGAACGAGCACGAAGAAACACCCACCGCATATCATCGCGATAATCACTATCAAGTGGACAAAGTGCCTGATCTCCTTGGTCAGCGGTGGCTCGCACGTGGACAGGTTGGTCGTCAGACCGGCGAGCCGGCCGATCATCGTGTTGTCGCCGGTCGCTATCACAATACCCGTGCCTTCGCCAGAGACAGCAAATGACGAGAAAAAAGCTACGTTTTTCGATTCCAGGGGATTGGCATCGGTCGGGTGATCCGTCCGCGTCGTTGGCTCGCTCTCTCCTGCAACACTTGGACCGTTTATAAGCTACATACTATTTACTATATACCCAGTCGTTGTTCCCGCCCCGCAATCTAGTGAGCACCAGCTTATATATAGGCGCCGATCTATCACGAACCGGTGATACTCGAGTTCTCGACCCTGAGACCCCTGCTCTCGATGATCCTTATGTCGGCGGGTATCTTGTCGCCCAGTCGTATTTCCACCAGGTCGCCGACGACAACCTCCTCGGCTGGTAATTGCAGCCTGACACCGCCCCGAATGACAGTCGCCATAGTTGGTACCATGTTCTTGAACGATTCCATGATCTTGGTGTTCTTGCTCTCCTGGTTGTAAGCGAATACGCCGGATATCAGGCAGATGACGGTGATTATGAGTGCCATGTATTCGATGTTCTCCTCGTCGTGGCCAGTTATTTGGCCAATCGCGTACAAAACGAGGCAAAGTAAGGCGCACATCCAGAGTAGGGTGGCAAACCCGGTGAACATGCACCTGAAGAATTTGACGTACTCGGGCGTCATCTTGGGTGGGGTCAGGACGTTGTGGCCGTTGGCCGCGAGCACGAGGGCCGCAGCCTCCGAGCTCATTCCCTGGCTTGGATGGCTGTTGAGCTTGTCGCACAGTCGTTTGATCGGGATCACGTGATCCTGGGTCTCGGGCTCCGCGTGCAGTATCTCCAGTTCCTCATTCGTGTATCTGCGCTGCGGCACGTTACCCAACGAGGACTTTCGGCCCAGTTTGGCCGATACTTTGTTCAGAATTTCCTTGGCCATGACTTTTTTTTTCCAATTACACTATTGCCTTGTTGCTTTTATCGGGGTAATTACCGGTCACTCGGACGTGTATGCGGGATTATTTTTGTACACATGGGTTACGTGTAGGTAGTTAAAGGTAGGTCGAGGTAGTTTTTTTTTTTTTTTTTTTTTTTTTGTAAAGAAAAACAAAAGAGTAATCAATCGATACATATCCATACATGGTTTTACAACTCTTTCTGTGACACAATTCTTGCGTATTTCCTCGCGGTAACTTTGGTTTTTTTTTTCAAGTTATTTTTCTTGTGCACTTGAACGAATTTTTTTTTTTTTTTTTCATGTATTTTAAGCGAACTACATTTGAATTTTTCGGAAAACGTTTGATGGTTTGTGTGTGTGTGTGTGTGTTTTTTTTTAAGGTTTTGAAAGGCTTGAGTTACTTGAGAGATAAGCACGCGATCATGCATCGCGATGTCAAACCAAGTAACATCCTCGTTAATAGTGCCGGTGAAATAAAAATCTGCGATTTCGGGGTCTCTGGCCAACTGATCGACTCGATGGCAAATTCCTTTGTTGGCACGAGGAGTTACATGTCGGTGAGTTAACGACGACGATTTACTAGAGTTACAACTATACTGTAAATAATTGATAACACTTGTGTACATTAATTTTTTTAAGCCGGAGAGACTTCAGGGGACACACTACTCGGTACAGAGCGACATTTGGTCGTTGGGCTTGTCGCTCGTCGAAATGGCCATTGGCATGTACCCGATACCACCGCCCAATGACAAAACGATAGCAGCGATATTTGGAAAACATCCCGGCTCTGCTCTGGATGGAGTTCTCGCTGCCAACGTCACCTCCACCCCTACAACTCAGTCTCCCTCGCACAGTGAGTTATTCGCGCTCAATATTTTATTTTATTTTTATTTATTTATTTTTTTCTTATTACTATTAAAATCGCTTTTTCTTTACCGCCCAGATCCCGGCAGTCCGAGACCCATGGCGATATTTGAATTGCTCGATTACATAGTGAACGAGCCACCCCCAACACTGCCACCCGGAATTTTCAGCAACGCGTTCACGGACTTTGTCAATCGTTGCTTGAAGAAGAACCCGGCCGAAAGAGCGGATCTCAAAACACTCATGGTACGTGGATCTTCTTTTTTCATAGCACAATGGTTTATTACGTATTTTTGTATCATTCCTGGCCCGAAAGCGTTTCTTTATTTTCATTATGTGTATAGAAACTATCACATCCTGGTCATGAGTAATACACATTTTATAATTTGGTACCCTAAAACCTGTAATTTTCATACTTCTTACAAAATGAATTAATTACTTTGGAATTTGTAAGTGAAAGAGTAACTATGTTGTTTTAAAAAATAATTAGAATCATGAATGGATCAAGAAGGCCGAATCAGAAAACGTCGATATTGCCGGGTGGGTGTGTCGAACGATGGATATACAGCCTACAACTCCAACACGCTTAGCGAACGTACAATCCTGAATAAATGTCACTCTTACATACTTGACCACTTGCATTCACGTTCAGTACTCTTGAGTCATATTTGCGTTTCGTCTTTAGTTCTCACGTGTGTACACCAGTGGCGATTTAAAAAATTTTTTTTATTCCTTTTATTTTGGCGTTTGATCTTTTTGCTATCATTTTCAAGTATGAATTTGAGAAAAATCTATTTAATGAATAAGCCATGAGATAGATAGTTATAGAATAACATTAAATGGTTGTAATCGAATTGCAAAGCTTCTTAGAATACATCTATTTTGTGATGATATCACTACTAGCATTCAAAGTGAAAAGTAAAAAACATGTCTTATCGGTTTTAAATGTACATATATCTAGTAGCTTACGAAATATTTTACCTATTGGATAAGACAATTGATGTATGATATATACACGTGTGTTGTAAAAAAAAAAAAAAAAAAAAACGTCTAACATCTACTTGAATATTTTCGTTTCGCTCGCCACTGAGTTTAATTACTTAGAAAAATTTTCGTCTGCATTCAATTTATATATTTTTATTTTAAAGTATGTAAGATGAATCATGCTAGATTATTATAAGATTAATTATGAGCCATTAATAAAGTTTCTTCCTTGGAAATATGATGGGATGAGATGGCAAAACAATGAATTAATGCAACATTAGGAATAATGGAAAACCAAAAGAGTTTAACGAAAGCAACATTAAATGTACAGCGGATAAAATGAGTGTTGATTTGAAACGCAATTTGTACCTGAATGCTGTATAGTGTAAGCTTCGTACCTTCGAGATAAAAATTAATTGAAAAAATTTACAGCACTATTTAAAAATGTTTTTCCTTTGAAGATTGTACCCTTAAATTACGACAATGCTGAAGTTTCTTGTTCCAATATGTATAACTTTATAAGCGCACGACAAAGGACTGAACTGATGACTTGGGTGCGTAGGTATATACTATTTATAAATACTGTATTTAGGAAAGTTGTACCTATCTATAATGTGTAGCATGTTCGATAAATTTCTGCCATATATACTTAACTATACAAAGATTGAAAAAATTTATAAAAGACAATTAAGATTCGAAAGTCTTTGTGTAAATCAATGGGCTTACTTTTCATTCTTTTGTACAAAACATGTATACGTATTGTAAAAAAAAAATAGTTTCCAATTGTATCGATTTCTCATGTGAATCTACAAATTTCTTGAATTATGAATTCATTGAAAACTATGGATGTTTGTAACTTATATATTATTGTTATTTATAAATTCGTGCAATTTTCAGTGTAGTAAACATCTACTTGAGAAAAATCACTTTGTCATAAATTCAGTATCAGTTGCAAAGAAAAACAAAAAGAAATGGTTAAAACCAAAAAATTTTAACTAGGCATCCTAATTCTAAGAATGGTAAGCTTATTATACGTTACAAATTAGCAAAGAGTAAGACTCTTATAGGATTTAACTGCTCCACCATGTAAAAGTATTTATGATGACGAATTATCTGGTGTCATATAATTGTTCATGTATGTGTAAAACCATCAAAGTATGTAACTAATAGTCAGCTGCAAGTTGACTCCTACAGTATGTTAGTGAAAGCTATTGCTGAAATAACTATAAATAAAAAAAGTGGTCGTACATAATTAGACACTAGCTCAAACACGAAAATTATGTTTTGCATTTGTTGGTAGTATATGCAGTTTTAATTGTATACTAATCAGCACATCATACGTATATGGTGATAAAGTTTTTTGAAAAATTTACTAAAAGAAAAGTATTTATGCTTATTGTTACTGTTATTTCTTACACTGTCATTACTGTTTTAATTGGCTTGTATTTGAAAAACAAAATAATACATAATGCGTAATGTAATTTTTTTTTCTGAAGGTTTCGTTCACTATTTTAATGTAATAGAAAAACTTTATAGATGTAATTTTTTTTAAATAAAGTATTTCTATTTTTTATTCTTATTGGCAGTTTTTTATTCTGACTAGTAAATATTTATAGAATTAGTATGTAAAAGATGAATGTCTGTTAACTTCAATTCGTTATTTGAGTCTAATAAATATTGTTGATTTGGAAGATTAAAATAAAAGAGATGTGGATAATTTATTACACTTTTCTTTAGGTGAACTTCAGCCTCGCAGACAGAGAGCTAAATTTTCAAAACTTTTAATCTCGAAATGTTACATATATATCTTTACTTGTAGCTTATAGTGTTAAAAAAAATGTGAAATTAACAAAAAATAGTACGATTTGTATTTCCTTCATTAGTTTTTTGAAAATTCTGTAAAATAAGATAACAGGTTGAACTATATAGTTATTATGAATTTATTTTGTGTACATTTGCCAGCTTGTATCAAAATTTAACAAAATAACATGAAAAAAGACTAGTCATATTTATATTTAAAAAACGCTTATTACAACACGTACGTAATGTATGTTCTTTTGGCAAATTATGTTGCTCGCATTTATACATTTTTTTACTATTTTCATAATTATAAAGTAGGCCTATGAAAACTATAATCGCTTAAGACGAGCGCGCAACTTTAAAAATTTATAATGTTATAACATATTGCGTTTTTTGCGACGATATTGATATGGAACGTAATATCAAAAATAAGTAAGGGCTTTTGTATTGTAATTATTTTTATCACGATGGGATTACGTTTGTATGTACAATTATTTAAGCTTCTATCAATTGAACAGCGGCAAACAGTGAATAATTTCTTTTATAATTAATTTTTTTTTTGTAAGAAGCATTATTTTGAGCTTAGAAATAAAGTGAAAGTTTTTTCAATCAAAAAATCATCTGACTGTAAGCTCTCATCATTAAAAAGTTTTTGTAGATAAAGTTAATACTATTTAATAAACAGCTGATTTATATAATATGAAAGTAATAATATTCTGATTTAAAAATTTCTTTCTATACATTTAGAAAATTAATATTAAAACTACTACAATAAGTTAATTGCAGTGTAAAATAACAAAAACGTAACAAAATATATTAATGGTTACTTAAAACTATCACACTGCACATGAATACTAAAGAGTAATAATAACCGTCGCTACAGGTAATAAATATATCAAAAGATTAGCCATTTTCATTTATACAACATTATTATCACAAAAGCTTATTTTAATCAAAAAGAATCAGAGAATCCGCATCGTCGGACAATTGGTCGAGCGAGTCGTATTCAATATCAATGTCTTCCTGATCAATATCATCATCCCAAAAAAATCCATCGTGCTCAAAGTCGGGCCGCAGATACGCCTCGGACAGATCAACATTCAACACTTGAAGGAGCGGCGAGACTTTTGTTATTGCCTTCGTATTGACAGTCGTACCACCGACATACATTTTGAGAAGGATATTGTTTGGACGGCTCTTGGTTGAAGCAATAGCCACTTCGATGAGCTTATTTGATATCTGGTTGCAGCCCGAAAAATCGAGTAACTCGAGATTGTGCGACTCCTCAAGGAGTGTACAAAGGCCCGTGTTTTTTATTCTCGGACAGCCTCGACATTCCATTGTGCGCAGGTTTGGCATCAAAGTCAGAACTTCATCTGTCACTTTGCCCAGGTAATTTATGGATAAATGTTGAAGATTCGGAAGCGAAGTGATACTTGCCAAACCTTCATTCGTTACAAAGTTGCAAGCTGAAATTACAAAGGTACACGTGTCCTAGTGAAATGATTCATCGAAATACTTTAACGATGTTGAGATAATGCTTTGAAGCGTACGTACAGCTAACGTTGACAGTCGACAATTGTTTGCATTGTTTTCCCACGGCAATTAAAAATTCATCGTGGACTGAATCGTTTGTAGGAACTTCTAGCGTTTCCAAATTAATGAGATCAGCAAGGTTTATCATGACTGATTTTCTTATCATTGGAAAATAATCACAGAAGTTCAAAACTTTTAAATTTCTCGAGCAGGAACTAATCCCCTTCACAGCCTGGTCGTTGAATGTTACGCATTTAGTCACTGTTAACGTGTGCAAGTTGTGAAGTTTTTCAATAGCCTGAAATCAAAGAAAAATATCACAAAAAAATCCCCATTATAATTCTGAAAAAAAAAAAAAAAAAAAGATGCATATATAATCATTAAAATAACAAATCCTACATTGGCAAAGTAACACGGTGATATATTTCGGCACTCGATCAAAATGACCGTCTCTATGGAATCCGCTGGCAGATTCAGTAGACACTTGCCGGTCATTGCATTCTGCATGATCCTCAGGTACCGCAGCTTTTTATTTTTTTGGAATAGTTGAGACAAATCATTGTCGCAACTATTGGAGCAACGACCCAAGCTCAACGTTTCAATTTCCTTGCAGCTCTCTGTAAGAGCCTTTATACCAGCGGGGGTGACAGTGAGTGTGCTGATGTACTGAAGATTGGGGCACATCTTACCAATTATTGTTAGCGTGCTGACATTTAATCTATCCGTGCTAAGGCTGATATCGATGTGTGTGAGGAACTGGCCGCAGCGAAGCAGAACTTTACGGAGAATCGGTGTGTCGATTATTTCACTGGCGAAATTGTTGAATTTGACTCTGTCCAATTCGACCCCTCGAGTTTTCGGCTTGCCAAATCCCCAAGTTGAATTCATCAAGTCTAGCTTTTTAAAGGTTGACCACGACTGTTTACTGAGCACTTTCCATCGCCGACAAACTAAAAATTAAAAAATGTATACTTAATAGATTTATATAAATACAAGCTTTCAAGGTTTTAGTGTAATCTTCATTACATGACACTTAGTGAAATTTTTATTGAATGTATTTTAAGTGTTTAGTAAAATTTTTTACAGCAAATAAATACCTCTTTCTACGACAATTCGATCGACAATGGGAAGGTATGAAAATATATGAATCAAGCAATCATCGTTTAGCTTATGAATTTCAGCATCAACATTTAATTCAAATACAAAATCTTCTGTAAATTTGGGACCCTTTTTGGATTGATACTCAATACTGTCAGGCTGATGCCACGAATCAGCTGGCATAACTCTCAAATCCCTATTGTGGAGATGAATTTTTTTTTGATACCCATCTTTTGCCGCTCTACAAAAAAAAACATATTAATTAATTCAACTCTACTGTTAAATCAAGAATAGAATAAATTAATCCTCCACTTACTTCAAAGCATCATCTTTGTTTCTGAAAGTTACAAAAGCAAAATTGCTTTTACCACTTTGCCTTTTCACAAAACAACTGTCCAATTCTCCATAAGTGGAAAATAACTTTTCAAGATCTTTATGAGTAGTCTGCAAGGAAATACATAAGATATTAAAAAAACTGAAAGTAAGTATTGCAAATAACCTACCCTCTGAGCTATGTTGCCAACAAATATTTTCCGTATCGCAACACCATCGTCTGTGAACGGTTTAACAATATCATCAATATTCTCCTCTATGCAATCATCTTCAAAATAAAAGTCATCTAAAAACCAAGTTAATGAAAATTATTGTTTATTATCCAGGCTAAAAATTTTATGAACAATACTGTAAAACAACAAACCACTGTCTATGTTCCAAATTCTGTGTAACATGTTGCACAGTTCTTTGTCTATTCGGTCATCCATTTTTTTTGGAAAAGACCCCCTTAGGATAAGTTGATTTGATCTTGATACACACAAGTTCAAATAAAGTTCACCGGTCGCTCACAAAATACTTAGTATTCACTACCTTTTTTTTTATTCTTAGGCTTCAGTGATCCTCTCAACACGTGATTAGTGTCCGAAGACCATTGCACACAAAATAAAGGGACAAAGAGAGAAAAAATAAGGGCCGTGCGTTAATTCTTGCACGAAACTTTCGCGATTTGGGTTTTATATAATATGAAGTAGAAAGAGAGAGACTCACATACACTAACCACGTAAGTACTTTTAGACAGGAATACGTCTGACTACTGGCATTTTCGTAACAACAAAACCACCTGGCTCCTTTCCAACGCGGTCGCAAGTTGCGAGAGCAGATTCACTCACTCGTGTAAGATACGGTACTTATGTACTTAAAGTAAGAAAATCTTCTGTGTGCGTATTTATCAGTCTTGTCTCCAGATCAGTCTCTCAAGTCTTGAGTTGAAGCGAACAAGCGCTGACGCTTGAGATGCAGGCACATGTTTACGAGAAATTTGTCAAGCACAGGGCACTTTTGATGATTCGCCCCGCAAATCTGTCTGGTGCGTCTGCGTATTGCGTATATCGTTTATCGTGTATATACATGTATAGTGTGCACTATCAACAAGCTACCGCATTCGGTCTTGAGACTGCAGTGCGTGAAGTTAATGTACCTTTTTTAGAGGTGCTACGTAAGTATTTTGGTAAGGTACACTGCTCATACGTTAATAATTTTATCAAACTATTCATTTTTCATTTCACCAACTTGGATCGTTTATTTGGTCAAACTTTGTTGAACTGATGAAATTGAGTGTTTTGTCATACAAAATTTTAATAAAATTTTTGTTTTTAAAAATAACAGTGTGATTTTTCATTAAATACTACAAAATTTGAAAGTATTACAAAAAACTATTTCAAAGCACGTTGGGAATAACAATATTTACATTTGTGAAATGACATATTTTGTAACTATATAGCGTACGTACAGCTAACGTTGACAGTCGACAATTGTTTGCATTGTTTTCCCACGGCAATTAAAAATTCATCTTGACCCTCATCTGAATCTACAAATTTCTTGAATTATGAATTCATTGAAAACTATGGATGTTTGTAACTTATATATTATTGTTATTTATAAATTCGTGCAATTTTCAGTGTAGTAAACATCTACTTGAGAAAAATCACTTTGTCATAAATTCAGTATCAGTTGCAAAGAAAAACAAAAAGAAATGGTTAAAACCAAAAAATTTTAACTAGGCATCCTAATTCTAAGAATGGTAAGCTTATTATACGTTACAAATTAGCAAAGAGTAAGACTCTTATAGGATTTAACTGCTCCACCATGTAAAAGTATTTATGATGACGAATTATCTGGTGTCATATAATTGTTCATGTATGTGTAAAACCATCAAAGTATGTAACTAATAGTCAGCTGCAAGTTGACTCCTACAGTATGTTAGTGAAAGCTATTGCTGAAATAACTATAAATAAAAAAAGTGGTCGTACATAATTAGACACTAGCTCAAACACGAAAATTATGTTTTGCATTTGTTGGTAGTATATGCAGTTTTAATTGTATACTAATCAGCACATCATACGTATATGGTGATAAAGTTTTTTGAAAAATTTACTAAAAGAAAAGTATTTATGCTTATTGTTACTGTTATTTCTTACACTGTCATTACTGTTTTAATTGGCTTGTATTTGAAAAACAAAATAATACATAATGCGTAATGTAATTTTTTTTTCTGAAGGTTTCGTTCACTATTTTAATGTAATAGAAAAACTTTATAGATGTAATTTTTTTTAAATAAAGTATTTCTATTTTTTATTCTTATTGGCAGTTTTTTATTCTGACTAGTAAATATTTATAGAATTAGTATGTAAAAGATGAATGTCTGTTAACTTCAATTCGTTATTTGAGTCTAATAAATATTGTTGATTTGGAAGATTAANTATATATGTGTCTGAAAATTTGGTAGAAAATTGGTACAGCCTTCAGGAATATGGAACAAGACAATATCCTAGCTGTCCTAGTGCTGAGTCCATTTAATCGTCTTTAAATCGATGCCATCCTGTACCATCTCCCACAGAGGACTCATTTCTCGCAATCGCGTCACGTGTCTGACAGTATTTTCAATCACGTAATCGATTTCTTTCAGCGTTGAAAATCTTCCAATCCCAAATCTTATACTAGAGTGTGCTAAATCTTCAGATGTTCCAATTGCTCTCAGAACGTAACTTGGTTCTAAACTAGCACTTGTACACGCCGAGCCACTGCTCAGGGCAATATCTTTTAAAGCCATTAGCAGGGACTCTCCCTCAACATAAGCAAACGATAAATTAACACATCCTGGATACCAAGAAACTGGATCACCATTACGTATCACATGCGTTAATTGTCCCATGATTCCATTGATAAGATGCTGACTCAGTTGCGTGATGTACTCGTGATCATACGACATTTCATGATTTGCGATTTCACAAGCTGCTCCTAGACCTACTGCAAGGGGAGCCGGAACAGTGCCACTATGAAAAAAAGGATTTTGAGTATAACCATACAGCGAGATAGAAGAAAAATAAAGTAAACTGTAAATTTCGTTACCTCCTCAATCCTCTTTCTTGTCCACCCCCACTTTGCACTGGTTCTAATCGAACTCTGGGTCTTCTCCTAACATACAAAGCTCCTATACCCTTTGGACCGTATATTTTATGGCCACTAATAGACATAAGGTCGATATTCATTTTGTTGACATCCATAGGAATTTTGCCAACAGCTTGAGCTGCATCAGTATGAAGAAATACTTTTTTTTTTCGACAAATAAAACCAATATCTTCTATTGGCTGTCTTACTCCGATTTCATTATTTACCGTCATTATCGAAACTAGAGAAGTTTCTGGGGTAATTGCAGCTTCAAACTCTTCTAGATCAATTAGACCATTTGGCAAGACTGGCAAATAAGTAACTTTGAACCCCTCTCCTTGTAAATATCTACAAGAATCTAGTACGCATTTGTGCTCAGTCTGTGTTGTGATAATGTGATTTTTTTTCTCCTTGTAAAACTTAGAAACACCTTTGATAGCTAAATTATTACACTCTGTAGCACCAGAAGTAAAAACAATTTCCTTTGGATTCGCCCCAATCAAGTCTGCAATCTGCTGTCTAGCATGATCCACGGCAGCCTCTGATTCCCAACCATACATGTGTGTCCTAGAGTGGGGATTTCCTTGGTATGAAGTCAGATAGGGCATCATTTTGTCCAGTACTCTAGGGTCCATTGGAGTCGTTGCCTGGGCATCCAGATACAAGGCTCTCCCGAGCACAAAAGCTGTCTGTGACTTATCTTCATCAATGTTGCTCAAAGAAATATCAATCTGCTGGGAACTAGATGTGTGAAGTGGCTGACTCCTCTTCAGCTGCCATTGCTTCAGGGAAAATATTCTTGACAAACGCATCATTTTGTTCATTTAGTAGTAGCCCCAAATACTTGCTAATAACACTGTGTTCATCCTGAGATCTGACGCATATTTGAGATTTTTTGGTTTGAATTCGTCTGATCAATATTCCTGAAAATAAATATTTTTTAGTTAACTAGCATCCTGATTTTTCTAAATTACAACGAAGTCCAAAAATACGTGATGAGCTGTATTAAACATCCATAATTGTACATCACACCAACAACAACAAACAGGTACCTGCTTAGAGAATTCAGAAAAATATAAGCAAATGTAGGGAACAGTGAGCTAACCTCTTATTTTCCAATTCTTGTTCGACAATTAAATAGTTCCGTGTTTCAGGGAATTCACCACCGTAAAACGATGTGTCTTCTAAATTTTAGTGATCAGAGGAAATTAATATGACTCCTTTAACGAAAAAGCACCTTTTAAGTAAACAAGTAAGTCTCAAAAATACAAGTAAGTACAAGAGGATAAGGATAATTGACAATTGTGCAAGGCAAGTGCAATAATGATATACATATACTTATATACAAGTACATGTACATAAAAAAAACGACAAAAACACACATTACTGACATTACCTTCAACCTTCGACTTTTCGCCGCTAATAGCGCCAGTAACAGCCGAGAAAAATAAACACCGCTAGATCGCGCATAGCGCCGATAATACCTACTAAACTTGTACATAGGGATCTATATCTAGGGATTCGGATTGCAATATTTGTACTTAATTCGAATCCCTACGAATCTGAAAATCATATGCGGTATACTTACTTGACCCAAAAAAATACATTGAATACGCATTTTATATCAATAGAACTGATAAGGAATGTCCAACCATAATTTATAAACAGGCTTTAGCATCGTAATAAAATATAAATTTACTGTTCGATGTTGCAGACCAATATTTCTACATGGTAGTATTAAAAAAGGATTTGAGAATACGGAGATAAAGAAAACGGCATCAATGTTTCACAAATTGATAAATTTTAATTCATTACAAAAGTAGGAAAAGTTCTTTAACAGTTACAAATTTTTCCAAATGCAGACCAGCCTCAAAGAATTCATTTTTTTATGATTTTAATTCCTAACATAAACATCAATAATTCTTTTTAATTAATTTTTATGACCGATAACAAATAAATATTTCAGAACTCAGTAAATAGAAAACGTTCTTAAAAATATAAGCTTGTGCTGACCTCTCTTCTACGTGAAATTGTTTAGCAATAATAAAATCGTAATTATGTACACTGCAACTTGTTGGATTTAAAATTGAAAAGCATCCTGTGGCGTGACAGGTGTTACTTGAAACTCGACTTGACCATGTATATTTGTACTTGGAGCAATGTTTTGATCTCCTTCCTGGACAATAAAAATAGGAATTAGAATTATTAAATATCGGCATTTGTTGATTTTCAAACATTAAAATATACTAACAACTTCTGAAAAAAATCTATCAATCATGGTAGCAGCCTTTTCATAAATCTCTTCATTTTCATGTCTCTGAAGCGCCTCAAGTTTGTCTAAACCTCCGACTTCTTCGATCATCAGAGCTACTCGGTCTGTTTCGCCCATTTTTTCTGCAGCAGTCAAAATATAATTAAGGCCATCTAGAACTATTGAAATGCACCTGCCGTCGTTGGACTCGAGTAGATCACACAATGGCTTCAAGGCACCGCACTGCACTATGAAAGCAATTTGATTGACATTACCTCCGGAAGTCAAATTTGTTATAGCCCAAGTGGCCTCTTTTTTTGATTTGAAATCACCCTGAAAATTCAATTTATTAGTAATTCCAATTTTATTATTACAATAACTTATTTCGTATTAAACACATTTAATTTATTGACGACAAAATTGGTTTAAAATAATATAAATGTACCTGATGCATAACGTTGATTAGAGGAGGAATGATATTAGCGTCAATGACTTGCTGTATTTGCTCGACATTACCAGCTGTCACATTACTAACAGCCCATGCAGCTTCTTTAACAATATTAGTTTTTTTGTGCGATAATAGGTTTCCGAAATATCTTAAAGCACCATGTGCAATTACTGTATCGGTTTGTATGTCGCTTCCAGTGACAATATTGCCTACAGCTCGTAAAGCAGGTGTGAGAATCGTAACTTCAGGAGACGCCAGCAACTCCACTAGCTTGGGTACGACATTGGCTTCAATGACTGCTTGAATTTTTTCATTTGGCCCATCTGTGAGGTATGAAAGAGCCCAGCAAGTATCACCTGAAAAGTTAAATTTATTGTCACAAGCTTCTTCGAGTAGGATATGATGAATTAATCAGAAAACAATTAATTACTGAGAATCTCTTTGTCGTTATAATTCAAAAGACGGTTGAGAAGAGGCAATGCCTCTTTTACGCATTCAAAATTAGGCGAGGGGTTTTTGTTTCGGCATAGATTTGACAAAGCCCAAACAATGTTGCGAACAAATGACAGAGACGTCTCGGGTGTCACTAGCGAGACCAGAAGATTTATAATTCCTTCCTTTAGCACGAGATCTCGAGCTCCAGGTCCATCACCAGCAATGTTACCCAGAGCCCAAATAGCCTGTTCAGCTACGTTCGAGGCTGGTGACTGTAGAAGTTCAATTAAAAGAGGAATGGCACCCTGTTTAATGACAGTTTGCGTCTGTTCAGATGTTCCTGAGGCAACGTTGGTGAGTGCCCAGCATGATTCAAACTGGAGCATGGTACTAAAAAATGTATTTCAGACTATGCTATGACATGGTTTTAGAGACGAAACCCGGTAAAAAATATATACGTTATCAAGAATGAAGAATCAATTGTCTTTCTATTCAATGTTTTGATAGACAGAACCATAAGATCGCTTATACCTGTTGTTGGGCTTGAGGAACTCGATGCAAATAGGAACAATTCCCTTGGAGATCATTTCATCAATTGGCGGATTTTTTTGACAGCTAAGCATTTTTCTGCATGCTTGAGTAGCTTGAAGTCGGACCATCTCGTTATCAGACTGCATGCCACAGAGGACTTCATCGATAGTCATATTTACGGGAGACTTGGCGCTGGGTGGACTGAGAGGCTCATTTTCGTCAATGTCGATGTTTCTTTTTTTCAGCAATTGATCATCTTTGTGAGCCTTTCTCAGTTCTACTGATACCTCGGCTCTCCTCCTTCTGGCTTCCTGAAAAATCAAATGAATATAAAGATTGCATGTACTTACTTGTCTTAAAAAATTCACAGACACTAACTATGAAAAAAAAAAAAAAAATGTGTAAATGAGTCATACTTACATCAGACTTCCCTTGAAATTTGAATTTTGATATTCGCGAGGCGTTCATATCTGGAGCAGGCATCTTGGTAACTGAAAACAATCAAGACAAAGAAGTGAAATAGCGGCAAAAAAATCCGCAATGCAACGTAACCTAAACCGAATCGGTGCAAGGAATTATTACGGGATAAGTATACGGGCGTCAAGGATAACCATGCGTTTTAACTCTGATGAATAAGAAAGAAATATGAGGGAAAATAAAATATGTCGCGCGAAGAAAACTTTTTCACGTTGAAGGGGATACCTTCAACAACGTCCTGTTGTCAATGTCAAAGACAATAATATTTTAGATCAGATGAGTAAACACACGAAATAATCATGTGTAGTGTACCCACTTATTAGCTTAACTCGTGACAAATAAACACGACTATACACTTATTCTCGCCCGAAAGACATCAAAAAATTAAAACATGCACTAATTGTCCGTTAAAAGACTTTGACAGACTTAAAAAAAAAAAAAAAAAATTGCCAATTAATAAACAAAGTCAAGTCGCGAAATGAAGAATGGGTCAAAGAAAAAAAAAATGTTTAATTGAACTCGCGTGATGAAGCGTACGCGCACGTACAGAGATTCCGGAATAATTAAGTAATTCGTTTTCGTAACCGTCAAAAGCCGCATCCTGAGGAGTCTGAGCACGAGTCTCATCCTCAAAAAAGGCCATTATTTTCGCATAAACACAAAACTCCACTTACCTTTCGATAAAAACAGTAGTTTAAACGACCAAAGTAGTAAAATTAATGGCTAAAAAATTGAAAATTCCGGCTTTTTGGTCTATTGTGCTCTATATCTCGTGTGTATCGATACAAGACTGGATAAGTCACAAATTGCAACTCAACTCTGCAATGCAGAGTCTGGAGCAACGCAACGATAACATGGCGCGATGGCGCGCGCGCGCGCCAACAAGGGATGTAGAAAGAGAGAAAAAAGCGGCGCAGAGAGAGAGAGAGAACGGAAACGGAGTCGAGTCCAGTCCAGTCCAGTCTAGTGTCCAACTGTCCAGCCAATGAAAATGAAGAATTGAAAGTCAGGAGAGCTAGGTCATGTGACTGCAGATGTCAGGTCAGGTAGTGTATATGTATATAATATAAATAAACAAAAAAACCGAAACTCCCGGGGTGGAGCAACGGTCAATGGGTTTTAAATTTTAAAATTTAAAAATCATAACAGATAGAGACATTTAAAGATACATAAAGTAACATATAATAACAACACTACCGATTGTTAACCGATAAATAATGATTTCTACGGAAATTTGTTCCACAGGATGTATTCTTGGACTTAAATATTGTTAATCAGTTTAAATTTAATAATTTCAGATTATTTATAAACTTACGCAGAGCTCGGTACTATATATACGTATGTATGTATTGTAAGCTTTAAAATATTTTTGGAAATATGACGGGGAACAGGCGCGGACGCTCAATGCCGCCAATTAGCTAATAAATACGAGGCTATAAAGAAACTTGGTTTACTTAATATTATACTTACAAAATCGTGACTCTCCTAAATTCAGTTTAATTTTTGGCTAACATAAAGTCATTTCTGTCAGATCTCGAACGGCTTGAACCGATTATTTATGTTCTATTTGAGTTAATTAAATTATGTACTTACCTACCGATGGCCCTCAGCCAGAAATTTTGAATTTCAGAAATATTACAGCATTTATATGGTGAATTCCCTGACAATTTCAGAACGTGCCCTGCATATAAGTAGGTATAAGTAGTGTGTGCATCGGGGTTTTATGTGTTTGGTCTATTTTTGTTTTGATACACATAACCTCAAGAGGTTGATATGTACATCAGTTCTCTTGCACAGCACGTAATCTTTGAGTGTAATATGATTATAAATGCAATTAAATCGACTAAACATTTTTTTGTGATTTTTATTGTATGACGTGTCCTATTTTTACAAGTATAGTACCTATAATCAACCAAATCTCATGAAATATGGACATAGACAATCCAACTCCAGAAGATCTGCAGAGGAAGCTGTATTTCCTGATGGAGCAACTCCAGTTGATGGCTAGTGAACTACCACCAAAGTACCAAATGCGTCTCCCATACGAACTATTGTCTGGTTTGGCCAACAGCTTACTCAATGATACCATTTTCGAAATCGTCAAAGGGCTGATGGAAATACAACACGTAACGGAAAAACACTTGTTTCAACAGAGGTTGCAACTTATCAATCAACAACAAATCGAAAGTCAACAAGTGTTGTCTGAGCTCAGAACTGAAGGCGAAAAAGAGCCTGTCAAGCAGGCTCTGTTTCAGAGACATAAGGACGAACTGAAACAGCAGGATATGAAACTGGTGCTACAGCTAGATCAGAAGGTTGCAGATCAGCAAAGTACTTTAGAAAAAGCTGGCGTACCTGGCTTTTATATTACCAACAATCCCATGGACATCCAAGTTCAGATGCGATTGTGCGATTTTATTATAAGACTTAGCAAGATGGAAGTGCCAAGGTAACACTTGGTTGTACTATGCCAATGAGACAATGGTCCTTATTATACAAAAATAATTCTAAATACCATTTAAGACTATGTGATATAAGATTTGTTTTGTACTTATCTAAATATATTTTTATAAAAAAAGATTATTCGTTTTAATAATCGTTGAAAAAATTCCTATTCCTCTACCAATGTAAAATCTTTATTCTTCAACATTGAACTTGTATAACACAAATGGACGAAATCATGTACTTTATCAATTATTTAAAAAACTGGATAAAGCTTACAATATTGGTTATGGTTTAACTTTCTTAGAATTTTCTTTGAAATTGACATAATTTACATTTTTTATATCATTTTATACTTAGCGCGTACATATTACTTCTATAAATAAATATTTTAAACCTTCCATGATTTAAAACTAAGAAGTAAAACTACTATTGGAATGAAATAAATTAAAAATGAATAAAACAATTACTATAGTTAGGATAACTTTATTTTATTTTGTACAAAGCTCAAGGTCTTCCAAATTAGTTATAATAATTCAGTACTTAAAATAGAGTGACACTTTAACGCAGTAACAAATGGGTCTAAGGACATTGGTCTTTGTACATATTTACAAAGTTTAACTCTTTAACGCGACATATATACGATTATATACTATTCAAAAATACACATCTTTTACTTTGTCATTTAGTTTGTGCATGCGTATTTGAATTTTAAGGAAATCTCTCTTTAAATTAATAATTTAATAATTGTTGATTTGACTCGTAAAGTTTTGGTAAATCGAATAAGTAAATAAAAATTATCGGAAATGCATCAACTGGTTCATACATTTTAAGTTCATAAGTATAAAAAATCAAGTTGTATTCTATAACGCGCAGTATAAACAGAAAAAAGCTTCAAATGACTAAAATTTACTAACGAACGTGCTTAAGAGTAAAAAAAAATTAAGCATGTAGTGGTGCTTGTAGCTTAGATTCATAAGTTGTAGTAAACTCGTCGTTTTGATGTTCAGAGACTTTTGAGCTAGTTTCTTCCTCAAAACATATCCTATAAATATCTTTGTAACTACTAGCAAAGTGAACTTCCAGACCATCTGTTATATATTTTGGTAAATCCTCAAAGTCTTTCCGATTTTCATCTGGTAGTATAATACAGTTAACACCCACTCGCTTGGCCTAGAAGAAAAAACATTGTAGCTCTTCAATTTGAAAATTAAAATGTATAATTAAGTAATAATATCACTTACAGCAATTGTCTTTTCTTTGATACCACCAACTGGTAAGACCTTGCCCAAAGTACTGAGCTCACCAGTCATGGCAACACTTGGACGTACTGCTTTATTTGTGGCATACGATATCAAGGCAGTGGCAATAGTTGAACCAGCACTAGGACCATCTTTAGGTGTCGCGCCTTCAGGAAAATGCAAATGTAAGTGTTCGTCAAAAAGTATTGTGTTTGCAGGGTCGATTTTATGCAAGAAGTTTCTAGCCACTACTAAAGCTACTCGAGTTGATTCTTTCATTACATCACCAAGATGTCCCGTTACCTGGAAATAATTATGTTTTTAAAATTTTATCTACAATGATTTTCAGAAATTCAAAAAAAATTTAGACGTTGTAATTAAAATTACCTCCACAGATCCCTCATTTTTTTTGCCCCCAGGCTTGCTCATGGCTGTCTCAACAAATAGCGTGGAACCGCCCATAGCTGTCCAGGCTAAACCCATCACAACTCCCGGAGGAGTTATTTCGTACATTCTATCATGGGTGAACAAGGGCTTGCCCACAAAGTCTGATAAATTTTCACCACCAATATTAAACTTATCTGCCTCTTTTTTTACAAGCTTATGAGCGACTTTCCGATGCACTTTTTCGATATGCTTGCGCAAGTTCCTCACACCTGATTCACGACAGTAGAACTTTATCAGCTTATTCAATGCACTGTCCTCAATGCGCACCCATTCATCCGACAGTCCAGAATCTTTCATTGACTGAGGTACAAGGTATTGTTTGGCAATTGATAGTTTCTCTTCAGCTACGTAGCCCGACATCTCAATCATTTCCATACGGTCGCGCAAAGGCTCGGGTATCGTGTCGATTATATTGGCTGTACAAATAAAAAGTACTTTGGAAAGGTCAACTGGAACGTCAAGATAGTGATCAAGGAAGCCATTGTTCTGTTCAGGGTCGAGCATTTCCAAGAGAGCGGAGGCTGGATCACCTTGATGACCCCTTGGACGAACATAAATCATACGAAAAAATTATTTTTAAAAAGAAAAGTACTTTCAATAGACGTTAATTGTGTAAGTTACTTACTTGCCAATTTTGTCGACCTCATCAATCAGAACCAATGGGTTCTCGGTCTTGCATTTCTTCATACACTGAATAATCTTGCCCGGCATAGCTCCTACATATGTTCTCCGATGGCCCTTGATTTCTGCAATGTCAGTCATACCACCAACGCTAAATCGAAAGTATTCTCTGTTCAAAGCTCGAGATATCGATTTTGCTATCGACGTTTTTCCCACACCTGGTGGACCGTGGAAACAGAGTATTTTTCCTTGAGTTGACCCTTTAAATTGGCTGACCGATATGAATTCTAAAAAATAAAAAAAATAAAAGAGAAACGTCAACATTTAAATCAACTACATGCACAAACAAAATTTTTCGTAATACCTTTTATTCTTTCCTTTACATCTTCCATTCCATAGTGATCTTCATCTAAAATTGTATTGGCTCTTTCAAGATCCATATTTTCGGGGTTCGTCACACCCCATGGCATTGATGTTAGCCAATCAAGATAATTTCTTGAAACACTGTAAAATCACGTAAAAAATTGTTTTTCAAAGAAAATTGTGACGCGGTAGTATCGTGTAATAATAAGAAAAAACCTACTTGTATTCACTACTGTGATTTTCAAGAACGTTAAATTTGTTTAGTTCTTCCTCAATCACTTCCATAACTGCCTTTGGAACAATTTTATCCTTGATTCTTTCCCGATACTTTTCAATAATAGCGTCTTTATCGTCCTTTTCCAAACCTAATTCTCGTTTGATGGCTCTCAACTGTTCATGCAAAATGTATTTTCGATGTTGCTGCTTGACTTTTTCCTCAACTTCTTTACCGATTTTTTGCTGGAGCTTGGTCAACTCATATTCTTTTTTCAAAAGAGCAAGAGATAATCTTAACCTGTTAGTTATCTAGGAAATTCAAACATAAATTGAAATTCAAGATGAGAATTTTTTTTTTTTAATTTTAAAATTTTAACACTGACATCCATTTCTTCTAAAACTTCTTGCAGCTCACGTGCATCTCCTCCAGTCAGTGCTGCTCCAAGATCGCTTAAGTACACCGGATTATCTACAACTCTTTGTCCTTGATGCAGCATTTGTTGAAGTGACTCTCTATACAGGGAATTCATACTTATAATATCTCTTATTGTCTTGATAACCTCTTGAGTCAAGGCCTAGAATTAAAAAATACAAAAATACGTTTCCTTTAAAGTTTTTGATTAAAATTCTTAAGAATCTTATTGACACATACCTTGATTTCTTCAGTTTGTCGGAACTTGTCATGAGTTACATTAACAACTTCAGCCATAAGTACATGCTGAGTAGATTTCTCCTTATTATCAGCTGAATCCACAGCTGTCTCTGTAGCCTGTTGAATAACTTCATCAGTTGCAGCAGGTGTCTCAACTGGTTTTTCATCCACAGCCACAGGAACTATTTTCGGAATTTTTTCTGCAGCCTGCTCATTTATTCGGTTTTCGAATTTTTTACGCCTTTGCTCCCTTCGACTCTTTTTACTTCCAGCCACTGTGTCGTCTACAGGGACGTTAATTGTTGTATTATATAGAGGAAACGTCAATTTCATCCTATCTATCTCAAAACAAAGACATACCAATAAAAAATTGTAAACAGGATTTTATTTTATTATTATCACGTCCCCTCAACTACAATAAATCAAATCTAATTGTTTTTCATGCCTCTGTGGAAATTTATTGATTACCTGAAAGAGGAATCTTACCAATTGGTTTTGGAGCTTCATCCTCAATCATCTGTCCAATGATTTTGATTCTTCTGTGAGCCATCACCACAATCCTCAAACGATCTCCTAAATCTTGAACTTCAAGGATTTGTGCAAAAGTTCCAATAGAATAAACATCATCAATATTTTCCACGATTTCAGCCTCGTTACTGCAGAGGAAAAATAAAATAATATCCAGATAGCTCCCAGTCATTATATTTGTTCAAAAACTTACTCTTCACTTTTCTTCAAAAAGATTCCTGCATAAGGTTGATTCAACTTGACTTTACGCCTTATCAAATCAATCAGAATAGGATTAGAGAGTTCAATCAATTTTATGAATCTTGGAAAAACTGGATTGCGGCTGATTGCAATTACTGGAACATAAGGCCATACTTCTGGCACAACAACTGTTGCTGGTACTGATGCTGGAAAGTCTTTTGATTGAGGAAGAGCTTCATCATTCCTGTATACGAAGTTAAAAAAAAATTTAGTAACGTTACATTTAGTGTCGTTGAACTTTCAGAAAAACGTTCGATTACATTTTTATTTTAAAGCAAGAATAGACTTAATAAACCCATAGAAGGTACTGCTATCTCTTATCAGATCTGATTGCATCATTAACAAAAAATCAAAAACCATCAAAATATCACGAGAAAAAAAATGAAAAATAAATTTTTAAACCAAGTCACTAACTCTGGTGGATCTGTATCAGATGGACTTTGAGTCGAGAATGTCCTGAGGGTGACGGCTGCAGCACTCAGTCGACATTCCCTCAAGTTTCCTCTAAGGTAACCAAGGGAAATTGGTAGCCTCGATCGTTCAGAGGCTAGTTGCTGAGCAATTGCTGAACCTCGACTCAGCCTTGTTTGAGGTCTGCTACTAATATACAACGACCTGGACGTTGTTGCGCTGACCCGATAACGCAGAACAGGTAGCAGTCTGGCCTTAAGAGTATTCAGCTGCATTTTTTCATATAATAACTGGTTCAATTCTAGCGTGCAGGAGGAGATCAAGCTTTTTTTTCTTGAACCTTTGCTAAACAAGTATCTAAAATTATTTGTTTACGTATGTTATTTATCTTCTCACTCAAAAAACTGAACGTATTCGAACTCTCGAGAACCGGTTGACTTTGGAGGTTTGGTTCAGCTTGTTTGGAGTTTCAAGGTTACTTTTTAACTGCATGAATACTACTGCAGTATTCTATACTACCGACCACTGTACATTATTATGCCACACTATTTAAAAAAACACCAATTTAATGTTCAAGCAAATTGATTACAATACGTAGTATTGATAATTAATGTACAAGGCTAATAATAATTTTTAGGTTTCAAATTCGAATTGTTTATGAATCAACATAAAATTATGAATTTGAATAAAACGCGTTGCTCCACACACACACACACACACACACACACGCGCGCGCGCGAAGACGAAATGGCGGAGCGCTATTTCAAATTCGAACGAGTGGTGGTTGTGTGCTAGGGTGGTGCAAAAAAATTAAAGCTTATAAAATTGAGTGAGAAAGTCGAGTCCAAAAGTGCGTTTCGAAGTTCGACAGCGTATTTACATTAAGGTAATTGTGAAATTTATAAATGTGATTATAGTGGTAATGAGAATCACACTTGATAATTCTTAAAAACAAATTGTAAACTTTGATTTTTAAATAGCTGCGATTATGCGAGAATCTCTCTTGTTTTGGATTACATTTATTGATCGTTCTTTTTTTTTTTTTTTTTTTTTTTTCCTTATGAGTACGTACAGAATAATAGGATTAATAATGCAGTAACCTCATTGTTTCAGTGGAAAAAACTTGAACAAAATGAACACTCCAGGACTGAATACTACGACTCCGATCGACAGTGAGACGTTTGCGAGTCAGGTGGAATCCGATAAACGCAGTATCCTCCAGCAAGTTCTTCGGTACAGCTTTATGGACGATGACCAACATGTCAAAAAATCTCAGTCAATCAAGGTAAAAAAAACCTACAACCCTGCCGATAGTGATAGCACCGAAGACGCCAATTCCAAAGATAAGCTGGCTAGAGGTAAAGGCTGTCAGCAGCCAACGACCGAAACGAGCGGCGAAAATAAAAAACGACCTGTCATTGATATCAACATCTGCAAGGAATACGCCGAGATTTTTGGGGAGGACGACGTCGACGACAGCGAAGAGATATTCAACCGAATTCTTGCAGAGGTCGAGGAGCAGGTGAAACAGAAAATGGAAATCAAGTAAAATGAATACATACAATATAATCAATAAACAATAAGACTAGCTGTGACGATGATTGAACTGAATATAACTTTCATTTGTAATAATAAATATAGGCATATATATGGTGAAAACGTATTTGGCTAGAGTTTTTGTGAAACCGTTTTAATTACATTAATTGCATATACTACGTGTATTAGCTAGTTAATTGGCTGCTACTGCAGTAAAGATATGGTATAAGGAAACAAAAGAGCCTGTTAAACGTGTACTTATAGGTAGCATACGATGAAAAGGGATATAAGTATTGGATGGGTCTATACTGTTTCAGCAGCAAGTGTAACATCATGCAGGTCGCAAAATCGGGAAGCGCGAAACCTTAATACGAAATGTGTGACATGATGTTAAAATAATTGATTTATAAAAAGGATTCATAGATTTTCATAAATTATTTTTATTTTAAAGCTTAATACACTGCGATCTGAGAAATGGGACTAATGACAATACAAACAAATATCATAAGTTATGAATTAATCTTCAACAGGGTTTATCAGAAAACCGGTGGCACTTGGTATTTCATCCTCACTGATATCGGGTGAATTCCCTACGTAACCATGCTGGTATTCATAAGTAATTGACTTTTCTGTCATTACACTTTGATTAGAAAACAAGTAATGCTCAACTTGATACGTGTTCTTGACAAAATCTTCAAACGACAAACGGTCATCTGGATACTCATATGATTCATAAGCCTCGCCGATTTCATAGACCTCTTTAATCGACTCGATGGATTTATTTGGTTGCTTACGATGACCAACATCAACAGAAACTGGTATTATTGGAAATTTAGACTTGAGTGTCTTCAGCATTTTTTCGAACATATCGTTGCGGTATTTAAAACATCCTGTTAAAATATTTGTTTTACCGGTACAAAAAGCCACAGCGTAATTAATCATACTGTCCAACCAATCTTGCGGCATCCCTATTTGGATTTTAAGCTTAGAATGATAATTAGCACTTTTAGCATCTTCGAAAACATTGTAAACCAACGAAATTCGACTGCCGTCGAACAGCTCGGAAACGAAATGTTCCAAATTGTTGTCGAAATATATAAAACGTATCTTGCCCTGCACGTCCATTTCTTGTCGTAGATGCTCTTCAACGCGGAAATTTCCAAAACATAATTCACCGCCTCGGTAATTGGTAGGCAGTATCAGAATCAACGTACCCAACAATCCCGGATGAGACGTATCACGATGAGTTTTAAAAAGACCCCTTGTTGTACAAGTTCAGTTTGTACGGTTTAACAAAACCTTTTTCGACAAATTTTTGAACGTCAATATTGAGGTTAAATGCTTTTGTGTGCTTGGAATTTCGCACGGTGGCATCGGTGACCTTGACGTTGTTGTGGCTGTAATAGGCGACCTCCAAATTTTGGTCGAGCCACGCAATATCTTCAGCGGTAATGTCGGCCACTTTGATGTCTCGACATCCAACGGTCAGAATTACTTTTTTCATATCTTCGACGTCGCAAGTTCCAAATTGCATGTGATTCATGTAGTTGAACAGTTCAAGATCGCATTCCTTATCCTTGCACAACACTTGTTGTTCACTTTCGCGTTCTTCTCCTTCATTGCCGCCATCATTCTGCCTCTTGCGTTTGTTCATGTACCGTTGTTGCTTCTCAGCCATTTCGCCACGGTTGTTTGGTAGGTTGAGGATTTCAATTCCTGAAACACGCGCAAAAAGTCGGTGAATCTTTTGTTAAACAGGTCTCATTATGTTACAAAAAAGTGCATCTACCTACTAAGTATATGAATATAAGTTTAATTTTTACCAGAATTATGACTGCTGAGAGAAAAAGTCGATAGACAAACAAAGAACTTGAGCGTTGATGAGGAGAGATGAGTGCAATTGCAAACGATGAGAAAGACATACTCAAGTACTTAAAAGATGGATGATGGATGATCTCGTTTTCGTCTGACAGCCAGCGGACCAGCGCCTAACTAAACTGCAATGTTGCGGCTTACGGCGGCGGCGGCGGCTAGTACCGGCAGACGTAGTAATCTCTGCGGGTAGCCGCCACTCATCTCTCAACTCATCTCTGACGTTACGTGACTGAGTGGCACTGGCCTCCCTTCCCTTTTCCCTATAAGTACTACAACTGCAACTACATGGTTGTAGAACTTTTGTAGTTGAACAAGTTAGTTTGTAACCTTGTAACCTGCGGCTGAATGCACCTAGGGTCCATCAGGGTCACGTGCTCTGCTCACGAGAATAAGTCGGCATTTTCTGCAAAGAGAAAGAGAGCGAATGTTAAGTTCATGATTTGAGTGATTAAAACCTAATCACGTGACTTTTACGTTTGTATACATGAAAAAAAAAANAAAAAAAAAAAAAAAAAAAAAAAAAAAAAAAAAAAAAAAAAAAAAAAAAAAAAAAGACAAATACACTTTTACCTTCGTGCTGCACTCGGTGTTTCACTAAATTTTTCATTTCAAACTTTTTCCACGCACAATAAGATTCAGGCTTGAAGCTTTGTACCCTTCTTATTTTTTAGGTATAGGATAATAAAAATAATAGGTAAAAATAAAACATTTTTTTAACACAATTTGTATGCTGCAGAGATCTCAAATTCTCAAAACTTAGTGGTGTATATAGACCTAGTTTCTCGTCACTACAGCTTGATAAGTTACACGTTTAATACTTAACAACAATTGCTCAAAAAAAGAAAGAAAAAAAAATATATTTTGGTAAACTTTCTTAGAATCATTCAGCCCAAAAATAAAACCATCAACGTACAAACGATCAATGAATATTAATTCATACATTAATTTTGCAAAGTAGCGAAAGCGTTTGGATTAGTACCCCAAAAGTATGCTGGACAAGTAGCAATTAATTATACCTCAAAGTTATTAAAATTTCTCTTTTACTTGTTTGTTTGAAACAAATCCAGCTACGTATAGGGAACATAAAATTTCTATACTCATTTAGTTGTATCTGTATATACTTTTATAACTGTATAGCTGATATGAGCTGATACATGCTGAAATAAAGTTAATAAAACAAAGACTTTTGCCATCACGGCAATCAGTGTAGATAATAATAATATCCATGTAAAATCAAAAAAAGCAAAAAAAAAAAAAAAAAAGATAGTGACCTGTTTTCAACACTCGTATTTATCGTAGAAGGAAAAACCCGTACAACACCCTGCTGCTGGACGAAATGACGACCTTCAAGAAGCCCAGAGCTAAGCGCGGCCGAAAAGCGAAAAACCAATACACCACGAAGGCCTTTGCAAAATCGATCGAAATAATGAACGAATTTCGTAAGAGCCTAGCCAATGAGTCCAATGAAATCGGCCAGCCCACGCTGGCGATCGGCAGCAGGACCGACACGGTCTACCCAAAGTGGAAAACTACGGCCACGCACACGCCGATTTTCGCCGCGTCTGAGAACCCCAGATGGAAAAATTTAAATAAAATTACGTCGGTCAAGTCAATGGACACCACGACGACGACGACTGCCGTAACTCCGATCAAGTCTTCTCCGAGGAAAATGTACACGCCCGGCCACGTTGCCGACTGGGTGAAAGACGTCACCTCTGTCAATGCCAATCGTTACTTCCCCGCTGTCACGCCACCCTCCAAAAGTATCAAGTGCGAAACTATATATATTACAAATGTCTATCGTATTGATTGACTGAAAAACGCTAAAATCGGTATATACACATGTGCTACATTTTTTTTTTTTTTTTTTTTCTTTTTTTTCTACAGATCAGCCAACGCCACATGCAACACTGAGCTGAAGACCATCAGTTGTACTGCAGTAGGGGGCAACGATCACTTTGACAATTGTGACGACGATGACTTGTTCTTGTCAACTCCGACAGGCAGTCCGATCGGCCAGAGCACTCCAAAGAAAACTCCGATACACGAGGCAAACGCTCACCCTTCCGGGCGCAAGTCAGTTGTTCGTTTCAAGGACTCGTCTCCCGAGCGTATATCCTACAGTGAAATCTCGGACTTTTCTTCGCCTTCGTTTCTCGGGAATAATGGCAATGCTGGCTTTTACCAACCCTCCCCGCTACCGAATCATCATCTGCAGCCTCAGTTTCGCGAACATATGGACGTTTCAACTCCGATTTATTTACAAAATCATTGCGGACTTGTATCACCTATGGATCCTCATCGAAATCAGCATCGTCAAACTGCAGCAGGCAATGGTTGTTACGTAGAGTCGCCTCTGATTCATAACTTCGAAGCTCCCGGAGAAAAAGAGGCACGGTTGTCGGTCCATTCGGACGATTATCGCCAGCACTCCTTTGCCAGTAGTATTCTTGACGATGATGATGATTCGGATATTGAGATGATGATTCCTGAGATGCACAACGTTTACAATAAAAACGATCTGCGCAATGAAATATTTGCTAAGGAAAGTGATAAAGGTTCGGGTGATGTTGGGCGTGCAAGTAGTAGTAGGTCTGCGACGCAACATCAACAGCAGCCCTTCTTTTTCGACGATTTTGTGCGCAAATTAAACAATAATGTGTTGCACAACTATAGTCGTAATGTATCGGTCAAATACTCCATGAAAGTTAAGTATTTTTAAGATTATGACCTCCGTAATAATACCATCTTAATCTTATTTAGTTTTTATTTTAATACGTTGTTCATTACGATTTAACGTGAAATAACGTTTTATTTTGTTTAATATATCCCTTATGAACAATAGATTATCATTTACTTATTTTGTTAATAAAACTACGTACATACTTGATAAACTTTTAAAAAATACAACTCAACTATATGATACATTCTGTTCACTTGAAAACTGTAGTAAAAACGTTTTTAAAAAAATGTTAATTTTGTTAAAAGACGAGTTTTTCTTCGTACGTAATTAAAAAAACTTCTACAATTTGTGACTAGCTATGGAAATTCATTATATTATTACAGGTATAATTTATTTATAACTTCGAAACATATGAACCACTAAATTTTGTTTGTATGACTCTTATCTAACGAATAATATACATAAATAGCATTTGAATCAAAATGATTCAATGCAGGTTCGTATATAGCTATTACATATTTTTTGTTCTATATCACCTGATCATTTTTATAAGCAAAAAAAATGGAGTTAAAAAATTTTACCTTTTTGCGATTTTACTCTTTTTTTCCTGGCCTGTCATGTGTTATCTAATCATTTACACCACATCAAATTTTTAATTTTCTCCTCACGCACGTATGTAATCAGGAGAGTGGAATGACACATCGTCATATAATATATAACAGTTGATGACTAATAACTATTGTCAACGGCACATAAGTAATGTCTTAAAAACATTTTCAAGACCTTCAGTCGTGTTATAGATACTTCATAACTTGATGCACTTCAACAATATAAGTGGCAGTGTGCAATAGTACAACCGAAAAATTTTGAGATATAGTTTTTTTTTCATTTTATAAGTGACCATACTTACGCTGCAGTAGTGTATTAGCGTATTAAATTTATTGTCACCGTAATTAATTATAAGTACTGTTTTGTATAAGATTATTTATCACCAAAAGCAGAAAAGTGATAGGTTCGTTCATACCCTCTTTGGGTTCGGTACTTTTATCCACAAAACCTATACCTATATATGGCAAAACCAAACAGAAAACCCTGAAAACCCTACTGGTGCAGAACCGGGACTGAACCAATTGGTGTTAAAAAGATGGTTTAAACTTTAAACAAAAATTTTTTTGTAAAAGAAGATTAGTATTGAGCGCCGGATCTCGGTCCCCGATATTAAGTACTTTTATCAAAGGTACTTACTGCATTGAATCGGAAAAGTATATTTTTTTCAAAACTTCAAAAATTTGCAATTTCAAAATTATCAATAATAAACACATTGATTATTTTTAATGAACATAGAGTCTAAAGATTAAATAGGGTAAAGATTACATACTTACTACAGAGACTTTTTAAGAGAGTCGTCATAACATTCATAACTCATGTCTCGTCAACACTGTCAACAGTAAGTAACTTAGGGTGCCTGTACATGGGCGTCTTAATGTCTTAAGACTGTAAGCCACACCTATGGCGGGTGATTCATTCAAACTGATGTTAACTGAATACCGATATAATTTGTTTTAAAGAAGAAAATAGACACTTTATTTATCATAAAACTATGTAACATGATTACATTATAACGTTAGAACGTTTTTTAAGGCATCAAATGAACAGTTTCTACAATTCATGTTAATACAATAATTTTGTCAACATAACCTCTCTTTTCAACGACTCAGCGTTAACAAAATTTTTTTTAGTTTTGGTGGCTAAATATCTTTCCAATATTATAATGCGATCACGTAACATAGTTTGGTTATGAACAGGATGCCTATTATCTTGTTTAAAACAAATTATATCAATATTCAGTTGACGTCAGTTTGAATTGAATCACCCGCCATAGGTTTGGCTTACAGTCTTAAGACGCCCATGTACAGGCACCCTAAGTAGCATGTGTGAATCTCAATACAAAAAAAAAAGAGTACCTGTAGGTACTTACGTATTGGGTTCGGAATCCGGAAACCAAAATCCCGCTTGATTTCTTATATATAGTCGGGAACGGGAGAACTTCGTACAGGTTAAATGTGCGTTTTCGCACTTTCAAAGAAAAGTTTCAAGTTGCAAAAGACTAATTGAGTTGGAAAAAAATAGCAAAGGTATTGTCATCTCTTCAAAAATATGTTATTGAAAGACTTTCATAGTAGTACGATCGTTGAACATGTAAAAAAAATAAAAATATAATTGCACCTGTAAGGCCTGTCTTATTTTTCCCCCAAGTGACTGTGTATATCGCGAGAGTCACGTGACCTTTTGGAATCCCAAAATATATATACTCTGAATATCGAACAGTGCACACGACATATGTCATCAAATGTACATACACTGCAGAAAAACACCGAACCCTTACAACATTAATCAGATCGTTGGAAAATCAACAATTCCTTAAACAATAGTATCATCATATTAAAATCAGCAACGGCGAAGGGAACCTATACTCTTTTCGGAGGTGGTTAGATGGCAAGAAACTGCAGTAACAGAAAAGTTTTCGAGCGTAAAATGATCTAACCTCAAAAATATAGAAGGAAGTAAGAAAGAGGAGGAGAGGAAGCTTATTTACTAATCCGTCTCTTTATTTTATTAACGCCTGTATACCAAAGGCATTCATGTCGACATGTCTTGCGAGGCTTGCTCCATCAAATTTTCCCTTTTCAAGAGAAAAGTAAGTGTCATTTGCGCATCTACCTGATAAGTACACGTCTTTTTTTCTCTCCTCCTTGACAATGGCTTTCAACAACAGTGTAGCTGCTTGACTTTAAAAAAAAAAATAACATACCTAATAAGTACTAGTAAACGTAATTTCAACATATTTATACTTACTCAAACGATTGCACAAGTCGTTAAGTGCATTGTTATTTGTGAAGCTGTGATACTTTATGAAAAGCACCCCATGCAAGATTTTCTCCTTACTCTGTATAGAGTCAGCAAGAATTTAAATAACCGAAGCTTTTTTCATTGGTTTTTTTTTCACGTTAATCTGTCTTCAATTTCAGAAACAATGTATGGACTGCTTACGTTATTTTTGCACAGAATGCGTCATAAGGCGCTTCGACAGAATATTGAGCTGTGACAATTGCAGTATGCTCTCTCGCAGACCTCTTATAAGAAGCCAAATATTGCAAATGCGATCCAAATATTTGCGACAATACCTTTTGGCAAAGAAAGTTTCTCTTAGAGGATGCATAGGTAAATTTTTTTCATGTGTGACTTGATTTTCTGTTTATGAGTGATTGTCAAATACCTAGTCTAGTTTCAAATATGTAAAACCATATTAAATTATTTTCTAAAAATTATTTTTTAAAATTATCATTAAGTCTCAAGTTTTTGAACTTATACTTAATATACTTGATGGCTCTAGAAAAAGAAGATTTGGTGAATTTACTAATTATTTTTGCTAATGGTACCGATGTGATAAGAAACAATGATAGAATAGGAAATACACCACAAACCCAAGCAAACGAAAACAGAAGAAATACTCACGAAAATAGAACAGGATTCCATGAGTATAGGGCAGAATCTAATGACGGGTATGTTATTACATTCAATTTGAATTTTCATGCAAAAGTAGATTTTTATTAATAGCATAATACTTGAGTAGGCAGTCAAATCGTCCTGAAGTACTTGAAACGAATGAAAATACTTCGGTACGTCGATCTAGAAGTCCACAAAATAATGAAAGAACAGTTGGCCATGTTACTACCCCCGAAGAAGTTCAAGAACCAGTGGCCAGTAGAGTAGATCACCATGTTGAAATTGAGGAAGTATCTGAGGAGGACGATATTGAAATTCAAGTTTCAGAAAATCACGAAACTGACGGAAACCAAGGACCTGAACCTGTGATAACTGAACATGATGAAGTGTTGGAGGTACCTAACACTGAAGGTATCCAAGAGAGTAGTAGAATGTGCTCTGAAATACAAACGGTACTCAATTTTTTTTTTTTTTTCATTTTGTACCAATGGTTAATGATTGATAATTGTTTTACTAAATCATCCATATTTGTTATAGTGGACGGGTACTGTAAAATTGTCAGATATAAAAGAATTGTCAGATTTAGAAAATTTAAGCCCAAAACAGCTTAAAGATTTACTGAGTATGAACAGAGTTGACTTTAAAGGCTGTGTTGAAAGATGTGAACTCCTAGACAGAGCTTGTAGATTATGGGAAGAATATAAAAAATCTAGAACAGGTAAATTACGTAAAATTAGTTTCAATATTCGAGCAAATGCAATATCGTTGTAAATGTTTCAATATAAAGTATTAAAATGATAATATTTCATAAGACAGTTATTATCTAGTTGTGTATTTACAGTTATCGAAACGGCAGACGAGGATGCACTTTGTAAAATTTGTTTGGATGCTCCAATAGAATGTGTGATATTGGAATGTGGACACATGGCGTGTTGTATTAATTGTGGAAAACAAATGTCCGAGTGTCCTATATGTAGGCAGTATGTTGTTCGTGTTGTAAGGTTTTTCAAGGCCTGATTAATTGATTTTAAAAAATTTGGTGATATACATGTATAAAAAAAAAAAAATACAGTTATTATTTAATTTAACACGCTAAATCAAATTAATTGTTTTCAATATAACTATTGATTTTTAAAATTTTTATCTTTGTCAATGCAACGTATATGTACGAGATTGTAAAAAGTTATAGTTTTAAGGAAAGTAAAATATATTTAAATACCATCTTCAACATTATACTCTCATTATATGAATTCAATGAATTTTCGATAGCTTTTTATTATTATTAGTAATATTTCATTATAATTTGTAAATTGTCTACTAATATTAAGTGATATGATACAAAATCATGCCAACTCTTAATCAGGTTGAGATCGTAACATCAAGTCATGCTAAAACTACAGAGTAATTAATATGTAGGTTGTTTTCTATGTCATTTCATAAAAATAAAACAAGATAAGTTATTAACAAAAAAATTTACTATTTTAAATAATGCCATCATTCGGAATGATGCAGTTTGTAAAAGATTAACAAAGCAAATCATAAACTTGCTGAATGGTAAAGTTTTGCAAACTCCATTATCATAGTTTACAAATATGTGTATGTATAAAACACAACATAAAATTTTTTGCAAGCGTCATTCGTACTACTATATTACACACAATTTTTTTTAAAAACTCAGCACTATTAACAGATTTTTATTACTAGTTATTTTTTTTGTTCCAATTCTTTTTCACATGACATTTTGTTGTAATATATGCGTGAAGAAGAAAAAGTTTAACCGTTTTATTATGACAATCCAGTGTTTTGTGAAATAACTTTTTCAAGTTTTTTGTAATAACGTCAAATTATCTCTGAATTGGAGGAGGCATTGGGAAACCACCAGCATCACCACCTGGCATTGGTGTATTTGGTCCAAATAACACTTGTTTCTGTTGGAGGCGTTGTGCTTCTTCCATTTGTGCTCTTTCAATTTCAAAAATTAAAGGAGCAATCAAAATTGCTGAAGAACTGAAGAATATCCACGTCGTATTACACGAAAAAGAATAAAAGCCTGAAAACAAAGTATAAAGTATTCATCATACATTTTAAGGAACACTTATACAATTGCCATCATGGTAGGTAAATCAATATCAGATTAAGTGCCTACCAGAAAAAAAATAAAAAATCAGTATTTCTAACCTTTCACGAAATTTTTCATGAAGCCTGCCGCGCGACAGCTGAAATTCCTGACTCCATCCGGGAACATTTCAGTGAGTCCAACAAGCCTCTCCAAAACAGTCTCGTCCTGGACAATGAAGTTTAACAGAAAGCATGTTGTTCCGTCATTAAATGATACATAAAGTGAAAGATTACCATACAGAAAAAAGGGGTAGAGGTAGTAAGTTTAAAGATGAAAAAACAAATTTAAGACCACCGATGCGTTACTTGGAGGCATTGTCTAGAGTTTAACTCGTAAAAAAGATCTGAAGCGTCTAAGATTAAGTATGTCAAAGACAGGACAGTTCCAGCGTGAAAAATTAAATTTATAAAAAAGCTAGGACTGCCGAACCGGGCTCGCCGCAGCATGTGCTCCTCACGGAGCGATTGTGTAATCGGTATACTAGCTTTCAAAAAAAAAAAAAAAAAAAAATGAATAGTAGCATGCTGCCGCACGCGGTCGAAGAGCCAAGAGCCGGGTGTTGTGATATTCTTGGAGATGAGTCGAGGAATTAGGGTAATTAAAGTACAAGGGTAAAAGAATATACACGAGTGTGTAACTCTAGCATGAGCGCACCTCTTCATCGGCTTCGTCCTCTTCTGGTAGCAGGCACTTAACCTCTGGTGATCGTGCATCGCTGCTACCCATGCCGCTGTCCAACTGTTGCTCGATTAGCTCGGGCTCCTCGGTGATGGTGGCCATAAATGCTCCCGGAGCGTGTGATGAACAAACGATGTCTCGGGCGTCGTGGGTTAGATTGCTTGATTTTTTTTGCTCGTCCTACAGTATTACAGAAAAAGGCGACAACGCACAACTCCTGATGATTATAGGGTGTTTATGAACTTCCTCATGCGGACCTCGAGGATGACAACGGGGTTGCACTACTGCAAACTGCACCAATTACTATATATCAATCTCAATATTATCACTGCTCCGAACGCGAGTCGCGACTGCTATCTGACTGCTATAGCTCACTTCACATACTATACCTGCATGAGTATACCTATACTTCAAGGGGGCAAAGTTCTTTTACTGTTCTTTAGTTTTTACTTAAGTACAACACCACTAGAGTAGAGAAGAGACACATGCACATCTGCGAATGGTGATTGGTGAATGGCAGTCTGGCAGAGATGGGAGCATTAAGAACTAATGTATGGGCCTATGGGAATGGGAAATCAATATAATTTTTACAGCACTGTATGATTTTAATGATTAATATCTTTCTTTATAAAAAAAAAATGTAGCCCAATATACTTGCACATATCTTTCCTGCCCCTACGTGTACATCTTGTTTAAAATTAATCATTATAACCATTCGATTTTATGAATAATGTTTAAATAAGGGAAAATGATATCATATATTAATCTTGCCTGAATAAGTTTTTAATAAAATCTGCTCCAGAACATGCATACAAATACGAGCTATAGTTAAAATATAATAAAATAAATTGTATCTATATGTACATTTAATTTAACTGCCAACAGGACTGTATAACAGAATGAGAGTATTTATTAGAGTATTTTTATTTACTGATGTAGATGATTAATTTTATTTGTTTACCCTTAAAATAGATCGTTGTCCAAGGTAACGCAGGAAACGTCTCTCTTACAGGTCTTGCGTTTATCATATGCAGATTATTAGGTTATTGACTGCCATCAGCAGTTGGTTTCTGAATTCAAAACTATATATATTTGTATATTTATACAGAGATACAAAAACATTTCTTTTTCTATCTCGCTAAACAATTATAATGACTTTTGTAACTAGGACAAGTGGAAACATTTTTGACAACACTGTACGGATACTTATATGTTTACAATTTGATAAACATCTTGCAGTACAGAAATTCGAAAATTTCAACAAGGAAAACCTGACAGGCACAATATTATAAATAAGGCTTTTATAAGTACATGTTGAATAATTATAGTTCTCAATTTTCAACAAGGTTAATTTTTTAGCTATTGCCGCAAGTTTAAAAAAAAAAAATCACTTATTAAGATGATGACCAACTAGGTAATTTCATCATCAAATATTATTCATACAATTGGTTAGCGATCGATAAAAAATATTTTTCGAAAAGTTGAAAGAAAAAATTGGGTAAGCAACTAGTTACTCATCACTTAATCATCGGATACGTGTATTAAAAAACATGAAAATTAAAAAAAAAAAAGTAATGTTCGAGAAAATGAAAATAAAATTTCTTTAACAAAAATTATTATCTTTTTTGACTGCAGGCTTAAGATCAAGAGGCTATTTATCTTTTCTGCATCGATGCAGATACCTATCTAATCTGAAGAGTGTTGTTGTCACGTTCTGGTACCAGAAAGTGACCCTATATGACTTGATTAGAGCATCATACACACAAATAACGCAGCTTAGATTGTACAGGTACCTAGATTATTAATTTGCCAAACGATTAACACATAAATTATAAGATTGCAAAACACAGATTTTGTTGATGTTGATCAAATCGGAAATGTTCCTCCTTTTATTGTGTAGATAACAACCTACGACGACGAGTCGACGACGACTATCGTGTGAGATAAGTAAGTATAGTCACTATTCTACCACCTCGCATAAGCGCGCATCAAGCAGGTGTCCGTGACGTCATGTCCATATTATCATGTATATATATATATATGTATATGCATCAATAGGATCGACTCATTCCATCGAAATGCGGCTGCTGCTTTGATTCATGCTGCTGACTGCTGATGTGCTGATTAGTACTGCTGGAGCAGAGAAATAGTGTGGAGACTCATAGGTAGAGTATTACACGAATAGGTACCTTGCCGTCCCCAGGTGACTCCTTAGTCCTTGGAGAAGAGAGAACGTTATCAAGTTCTAGTGCGCGCGTAAGTGTTTGAGTGGGTGGGTGTATGTGTGTATATGCTAGCTAGGACAGCGCTGCATGGCTGCAGGTAAAGGTAACTAATCTACACACTATACGACTACACAGTACTGCACACTCTCGACTCCCTCTTTTTTCCTCTCCTGTATAACAGTCTTTCTCACTCTCTCTCTTTCTCTCGAGAGCCACCAGCTTCTAGTTTCTCGCGCTCCTTGCTAGTTCGTTCGTTTGGCTAAAAAACTTGTAACAAGTACTTGAATATTTATTTACCTGGTGGTGCGGGGGATTGCCGTGTTTCTGGGCCACATATAATCCGTACCGCTCCTTTTCTGCCAAATATACTTAATACCTTGTTCGCTGCATCCATGCACCTTCGCCTCCTCGATTATTACTCCGTTGCATTATTCGGACTACCTGCGCTACTTTGCAGCGGCCTGTTACCATCAGCGACACGTCCGCGTCTCCACTGGACGCCGCTACCAAGGTGAGAAACATGTCCAAGAACAAGCTGCATCATCACATCAACAGCAGTATCGTCGCCGTTAAGAGCAAGGTAAGAAAATATGTCTGCCCCTTTACTTACACACCTGACTATTATTATTCACCTTATTCTTTTCTCTATGTGTCTCTGTCTCTCGCTCTCTTGCTCTATCTGTTCACCACAATGCAATTAGTCATTCACCTCCTTGCTTCATGATTTTTAATGTGGAATTTTAATGTGAACCTGTTTTTTTTTTTTTTACCCGATGTCTTTCAAATAGTTTGATGCAGACATCATTAGATTTTCCATTAATCGCAATGAGTCCACCAGCTATGACAATTTTAGAAATCTGTTGGCAGAGAGACATGACATAGGACCAGATTTTAGTTTTAATATTTACTACACTGATCCCACTGATGGGGATCTTTTACCAATTAACAATGACAACAACTTGGCAAGGGCACTTGTTGCTGCCAAGCCACTCTTGAGAATTTTAATACAGAGGCAAGGTATGTACACTGTATGCTGTGATTGTTGCACTACATTAATTGATAATAATAAAAATTCTAGGTGAAGGACTGGAAGAAATGAATGGCAGCAGTACTTTGAAACATAAAAATATATTATCCAGCATCTTGAGTGGTACACCAGGAAAACCAAAACCACTTGCTATCTCAAATCCTCATGACTTTAGACAGGTAAGCTGTTGACTTTTTTTTTTTCTTTTTCAATCATTCCTTATCTCAGAAAGATAATTCTATTTTAAACGTTTCTTAGGTGTCGGCTATTATTGATGTTGACATTTTACCTGAAACTTGTCGTCGTGTTAAACTTTTGAAGCATGGGTTAGATAAGCCTCTTGGTTTTTACATAAAGGACGGTGAAAATTTTAGACTAGGGCCAGATGGCACGTTTGAGAAAGTACCAGGAGTATTTATTAGTAGGCTTGTACCAGGTGGTTTAGCGGAAGGTACAGGTTTGTTGGCGGTCAACGACGAGGTGCTAGAAGTTAACGGGATTGAAGTTGCCGGAAAAACTCTTGATCAGGTAACAAAAGCTATGATTTATTTATTTTCTTTAAAATTACTTTTCATGTCAAAAATGAATTCAATGTAAACATAAAAAAATAATTTTCAGGTTACAGACATGATGATTGCAAATTCATCAAACTTGATAATCACTGTAAAACCCGCAAATCAAAGAACAGCATTGTCTATGCCGCGACGAGGTTCATTCTCTCGTAACAGTCAGTTATCATCCGGTAGTCAACAGTCAATGCAGAGTGCTGCAACTGGAAGTGACGAGGAAATTGACGAAATAGTTGATCTGACAGGTGTGAATTTACACGACGACGCGTCCAGCTCCTCGCATCACCAGTCTCATCACCATCACCACCATCACAATCGAGGTTTCAGCCATCATGACCAAGGTGTCTTACATCTTTGAAAATCCTTCATTTTCCTTAATTTTTTAAATATTCTGGTCAATGAAAAAATACTCTTACATGAAAACGAAGCGATAGACACATTGGCTTCCTAATTTTGAGTTGATACTTATGATTGCGCAGTTCGAATATACTGCAAAGCCACAGTGCCTCATTGATTGGCCCATCAATAAGAAATCTAGAGCAAAGAGATATTTTTTATACTGAAAAGTTTGTTCTAATTGCAAGTAGGCAGGCAATGATAACTTAAAATATTTATACTATTGAAAGCAACGTTATAGCTCGATATAGTATAGACAGACGAGTACTTTGCATCATAAAAAAAAATACTTGATTTCCATGGTGCAAAGATATTATTGTAAATTTTTAAACCAGTTTTGCTTCAGTTATGATGATAATCAAGATGAATTTGAAAGCAAAACTAAGTAATCAATTTTTTTTAAGGCTTTTGCTATTTGATTTATAAGTTATACAGAAAAATAAAAATATCGATATTTAATTTAATTTAATAGGAGTTACAAAAAAACTAGCAATATCGCGACTGTCATTTAGATATTATTGAAAAGACCAGTGTATTGGTCGAATTTTACAAATGTATATTGTCGAGTACTTAATAATTTCGTGGGGATTTCAACCGTATTTCACGTAAAGAAAATTCTCAAGAATTCAGTTAGTGCATAGTATTTTAATCTAAAACTAGCAGATTTTACTGATTAGAAATCAGTTTAGTATGCTTTTATATTACAGGAGTTTTTCTTCCAACTTCTTTGACAACCATATTTTACGTAACATTAGGTACACACATTATTTTCTTAATAAACTGTTGCCTCCGAAGTCTTTATATATAATTATACATATTCATAAAAGTCACTATAAAATGTTGTTTAAAAACGTAACAAATTAGCAAAAACTTACATTTTTGCCGTTATGTAATGAAAAATTATCTTTAAGCACATTTGATGAATTTTATTTTTTTACAAAAATTTTTATCGATTTTAATTTTTCTTTTATTTAAAAAAATTGTCATTAATCACAGTCCACTAATCAAAGTATTAAAAATTGGACTTTCTTGGTGGACTTGATACAAGTAGGTTTTATTAAGAACTTTTGTCATGAATTTTTATAAAATCAAACAAACGTGAAAATTAACATAAAGTACTAGTAAGGATATCGTACTGAACTCATCTGATATATCAGGAACTGCCTACCTTATACTTGTACTAGTACCTCACATTAAAATGTGTATTTTCATCTTTTAGCTATACATATATACATAAATTAATTAAAATATCATACAAACAATAGATACGGAAGCCTAATAATTGTATATAACCAAATTTAAATAAGTCAAATAACAACAGAGGCCTTTATCGATTATACATACATTTGTAAATAAGTAGAATTATTAAAACCGAGTAGTTTATTGCGTAAGATAAAAAAAGTATATTGGATGAATTGAAGTAGTTCTAAATTTTTCAAACCCAAAATTGGGAACTAAAGTGCTCTTGTTGCAACTATACAATTGAATTCTTCGACACTTGACGTAGTTGTTAAACCTACTTCCGAAAATCGCGATTGTACTCGACGAACACGAGGATTTTCCGTAATGTTGACGTTTTCGAATTTTAAATCCATTTTTTACAAACGTGTTATTTGTTATCAAATAAGCAATAGATATTAAATTGTATAACTTTTTTTTTTTTAACTCTATGCAGTATTTTCTGCAGCTCTTTAAAACTTATTTAAAATGTAATGTTCTTATTATATTAATATTGTTTAAAAGGTTTTTTTCTTTTGTTATCCATGTATGTACTTATTTAGCGAAATGGGCATCAAAAGATATGAATTAATGCAAAATAATTCAAGTATTTTTAAAAAATATGCTAGGACTGCC